ATAAATCATATTTTTAAAAATTGATGGATTTGCTATTTTTAATAATTAAGACCAACTCTTCACTGCTTTCCAAAACATCAGTGCGACCTTAAAGAGAAAATGAATAAAAATGAAATTAATAAGGAAATTAACTTTAAAAAAGAACTCTTAATAAATAATGAGACCAAGTGACCAATCTGATCGCCAATGGATACCAGTAATTATATATTTTATGAACAAATTGATTTTTATTTTATTTATTTTTGAAAAATATTGATTCAAAAAAAAAAAAAAAAAAAAAAAAAAAAAAAAAAAAAANAAAAAAAAAAAAAAAAAAAAAAAAAAAAAAAAAAAAAAAAAAAAAAAAAAAAAAAAAACAATGATCAGTGGGGTTGGTGAGAATAGAGAATAATAAGTAAGGGTGAAATAATTTTATAAATGCAGTATAATGTATTTAGAAAAGTCTAAATCCATACTTTAAATTCCTTTTTTATGCACATATTTACTTGAGAAAAAGTTAAATTTCATCATAAAATAGAAAAAAAAATAGATTTAAAGTTTTAGTGTACGTAGTCATTGGATACCTCTTGCCACTGGCCCTTACCAAAATGGCACCCGCCCTTTTGTGTATTGTTAGCATGTCAAAAGAAATTTGAAACAAGCTTATTTTCATATAAACACTGTATGTTATATTCATATTAACACTGTATACTCATATTAACAAAGTATGAGGGAGGAGGCGGAGATATTTAACTGCGCCCATCTCCCAAAAAGTAAAGTTATTACCGCATTTTATTACAGTGTACAATTCGTTTGCTTGTATTTGCATGGCGATGGCAGACTGAGAAGGAAGTTTATGAAAACACACTTCAAGGTAAAAGACAGGACGTCGAAATAGACGATTTCTTTTGGTTTCCTTTTAGATCGTCATATCTATTTATCTTTTTCATAAAATCCTATTTTCATTTATTATTTAATTTTTTACACTACGTGAAGAAAAGCCGTATCTTTATGTAATAAAAACTTAAAAGTTCTAAAGCTGATGCATTTTTTTTATTCACACACCTATATTTCTTAAATAAAAATTTTGATTATTGTAATTTCAACAAGAAAGTTCTTGTCTAAATCAGGTAGAATTGGGTTGTAACTTTTCCTTTTAATTATTTATTTTTCTTCCTGATAAAGAATAATTATTTTTAGAAGCATACATACATCAGTGGGCTTTTTATACCCTTTATTATAGTTTATAAAATATTCGTTGTGCTTCTTGTTGCATTGTTATGCAAAAAAGCACGAGGCTAAAGGAAACTCGAACATTTAAAGTGTTTTAAAGGGTCAAAAATTGCCTTTCCTTACAGGATGTTTCGTATTGCCTGCTCTCAATATATATTTTTTAAAACCCTCGTCAAAAATGAAGTGAAATATCTCAATGAAAAAAATAACGCTATTGAAATCTGACAAACTACTACTAAGGAAGGTGAGACGAAAAACATCAAAATCTATTTGATGGGCAACATTCTATTGATATTCCGAATATCAATGTTTTATAACCCGCCTTCTTGAATAGTGATTCGACAGTTTTCGCTAGCTTTCCTGCTTATTCCTCGCTTAAATATTAATTAGCGACACCTAATGTACATTTGACATAATGTACATTTGACATAATGTACATTAGTCAATCTGAAATTTCATAATCATTATGGTTCTTGGCTCGTGGAATATTGTTAAAATGTAAACAGTAGATATGAAAATTTAAGTTAAAGTTGGTTCATTTTAAAAACGGAATAGACTTTCAAATACACTTTGAGCAGGTTTTTGTGTCATATTTCTGCATAAAGGTCACAGGGACTATTTAAATTCACGATATCCTTCTCACTAAATTTAAACTTATCTGATGCGTTTACTTCGATTGTGGCCGTGACTTATCTCTTCGTGACGTTCGAGTCACGAACAATGACTCCCCCCTTTTCTAATGACTCTGATCGAAACAATTCAATATTTGATCTTTTAATCACTTCACAACAAGTGATAAGCTGGCTAGAAAAAAAAAAGTGAATTGCAAGGAAAATAAATGAAGAAAAAAAAATTCCCTAGTCCTTTTTATATATATTTGCCTTAACAAAGTGTAAATAAAAAAATAATTTATGTCAGTGATACTTGACTCAAATAGCGAACGTGCAATTTTTGGTAAAAAAAAAAAATTACGTAGAGAACCAACTTAGATATTTTTAGATATAAGTGATAGTTTAAATATTAACTCAAATGAGGATAGAATAGCTACTTATGAATAAAGCAATAGAACGGGAATATAGCACAAATAAAGTACATGTTCCGCTTCTGTACCTTTATTTGGACTTTATTCTCGCTATTTTGCTTTATTTAAAGATTTAGTTATGAAAATTTACGCAATGGTTGGAAGCAGTGCTCTACTAGTAATGGAACTACTGCTGTTGCTATTTTTTTTCGTAGTTCGTAGTGTAGAGTGCAACTTTTTTTAAAAAAAAAAGAAATAGTGTAGTAAATAGTGCGTTACAAAAAGAAGAAAAAAAGAAAGAAAGAAAGAAAAAGGCAACAGTAGTTTATTGTAGCGATTTCTGGCAACAATTTTTTATGTCAGTTTAGTAAAGAAACAAGGTTCAAAAGCAAACAATTTTTCTAATATGATTGGTGCAAATCTTTACCGGTCTGTTAATGAACATAATTAGAATGCCCCTAATATAGGTACTTCATTTACGTCGTTCTGGAATTGCACATTGGGCTATTGGTGACGGTCTGGGAAACATATATGAGAATGTTTCGAAGACACGCCATCACAATTTTGATCCTCTGCAGAGGGAATGGTTGCCCCGCTTTGGTAGCCCGACGACCTGGCGCGAAGTCGAGCACTTTGTGGTAGAACAGTTTAATGAGGACCGATACTGTACACCCTCGGTCCCTACTCAGGGAAATCAAAGTGGTCACCCACCCACTTACTGGCCACAGCCATTGATGCTCGGTGTTCTACTGAGATTCGCCGCGTCTTTTCTATCAGTCCACTGCGGAACTAAGAATTATGTATTGCTAATATTTAAACAAGCCATTCCAAATAATAATTATTTATCACTTGCACCACACTATCGAATGAGCATGTATACACTCAGGATACCTTGATGATATTTAAATGATTTTAATGATTTTTCTTGATGATCAATATAACGAAACATATTTTCTCAGTAATTCTCGTTTTACTTTATTTCTTAGAAAAAAATAATAAAGCAAAAAAAATTTTTTAACAAAATTACAAACAATTGAAAATTTATCGGTATTTTTTATATTAAGTATTTGCTGTTGAGAAAGGCATAAAAAGTGGAAGGTTAAAAGAACAAATTCATAAGAATTGGTTGGTTTAGAAATTTTAGAATATCAAACTGCCTCATGTAAATATAAATTTTCCTAATCATTATAGGCGTATCGTTGGGAAGAGGGCGCATGTCTCCCAAATATTTTGCCGAAATGTCAATTTTTCACAGCTGATTGCATAATTAAATTTTTTTTTTTTTAGTAGTTGAATAAAAATTAAGATTATTACATCCACTATTGTAATTTTTTTTTATTTATATCTTTTCCGGTTATTATTATTTTTATTTTTTACTTAGTTTGGCGCATTCTAATGTGCTCATCAAAAATAAAAGGTCACTTTTAAAAAGAGAAAGAGATTTTAAATTATTGACTTAATAATCGTCTGCTTTAAGAAGCTATTTTTGTTCCATGTACTAACTCCTGGGGGCTGTTAAATTGCAGCTGGTTGAAAAAGCAGGTGAAGTGAATAGAAGGTGGTCTATTTTTCAAAAGGGTAAAAGGGGTCGTTGATTACTAATTAAGACTTCGGTAATGCACCCATTTTCTGGAATGTATTCGTCCATAAGTTTGGTCTTTCAAAATAAGATAGCTTTTTTCATTTAACATTGGCTCTTTTTTTCCATTTTTTAAAAAATTTCATTTTATTTAAGGTAATGGAAATATTTTTGTTTTAAGATAAAAGAAAAATTACTTATTTAATTTTTTTTAATAATATTAATATCCAATAATTATAGTCTTACAAATTTACACCCAGTGAGCACCTATGGCTNTTTTTCTATATATTGAATTATTTTTTATCTCTCACAGGACCTTCTATGGGCCGAAACGAATGTTGCCCTCGAAAATTATTCCTCATAAGACATACATCCCACTAGTTTATTTCAAAATTGGCGAGTCACACTTCCCTAGTTTCCCTTGTAAGCCATGGCGGCTGGAGTAGCGTTGCTGCATCATACAATCACAAACCCGTAATTTAACAAATATCGCCATAAAAAAAATTTATTTATATTAAATTCTTTAAAAAGTTAAAGCTTTTATAAGAAAAACTCACTACCATACAATCATTTATACTTGAGGGAGCCCAATTTATAAATCATCCTATCTGTCTATTAAATATAATGCGTAAATAACCAGCATTTTGTGTTATTACTTAAAGTAAAATAAAAAGATAATATCAGTTAAAAGCAAAATTTAAGTTTTAATTGATTGGGTGGGGTGCAAATGCACCTTTAGACTTCCCTTGAGACACGTGGACAAAATTTTTGAAATGTGGAAAAATTTAGAGGTGGGATGATGTCTTGTCGTATAAAAAATGTTATCATTTAAATATAAAGAAATAATAAATTAATAATTTTGTTAAACTAATAAATTAATAATTACATTATGATGGTATAAAATCTCAAAATCTTGTGACATTAGTTATGTACTCACTTTTTAAAAGAAAATGTAAAAATAATTCATTTTATTTATAAGAAACATGACATGAATTCATTTTCAAATTCTATCAGTGGAAAAAAAATGCCACATTTTTCTTGAGGGATCAAAAATGAGAATTTATATCATAGATGGCGTTAGTGAGTATTTAAAAAAAGTTTTTAAGAACATTACCAAAACCTTTTAAACTTTTCAGTTTGATCTTTTCTTTCGAACGATTAAACTTTTTATAATTTTACGAACGAACTTTTTCAACTTTACTGTTAGCACTGTATATTGGAAAGCACATTCGAGCTAATCAATGAGCCTATCCGTGATATTGAGTTGAGTGACGCAATTTGAGTCTCGCACGAGGAAAGTGAATTCGATATCGTTCTTTCATTTTTTATTTGCATCGCTACTGATCAAAGTGAAATTCTGCAAGTTTGAAAGAATTTTATTTCGTTCCTTATACATATCTCCAAAAAGATGAATTCGTTGGATCAATTGAAAAAAATGACCATTGTTGTTGCTGATACCGGTGAATTCGATGGTAAAATCAATGTTGTAGAATTCTTAAAATCCCAGTTTGTTATTTTGTATTAAATACATATGCTTTGATTTTTGATGTTTATATTTTCCTACATTTTAACAGATCCTTTTTTGTCAAATCAAAAAAGAATGATCCCGCAAAATGTGACATACTCTTGAATCCCTGTTCCAAACTGATTGCTGAATACCCAATAACATTTAACAAATTAAATGTTTTCATTGTCATCATATCTGTTTATCTTCAATGTTAATGGATATCAAATCTTAATATAATAATGGATATATATTGTCTTAAAGTTGCAATTTATCCTATAAAAATGAAATTCTTATCTTACTATAGAATTTTGTCACAAAAATAAGAAACGCTTACCTTGGCTCCTGCAAGATAAGTCAAGAGCATCCCTGTCAAGCCAATAAATTAAAATTTTTAATTTGCTTTTTACTGTTATTAAAATTATTATTATTTAATGTTTACAAATACTGCTTGTAAACGGTGCATTTTTAAATTAAATTCTACTAAAAATAATTATTTGTTAATTGGAAGATACAATATGAAACGAAAAATAATGGTAAATTAATAAAATGAGGAATTATATAGATTCAAACCCACTTTTTTCTCATATGTGCTATTGTACTCATAACATATTTGATTTAAAAGTGTTTAATTTAAGCATGATTTTTTATAACTTTTTTTAATGTTTAAATGTTGTTAAAAATTACTGGTTTAGTAGCTTTAATTAAACTACCTATTTAAATTGTTTGTAAAAAATTTGATGCTCATATATAAATTATTTTACAGCTCTCTATAAAAATTAAATAGAACTTGAAATAATTAGTAATTTATATATTTATTTTTATTTCTGAAAATTTAAATGCCTTTCTATTTTGAAAAATTACCTATACTTTACATTTACTTTTTTCTATGATAGCACATTCTTAGATAATATATTAGAATTGTAGAAAAAATTTCTAATTTTTTTTTTTTAGTTTTTAAAATTCTAATGTTGCAAAAGTTTTTTGTCAGGAATTTTACATGTATGAAGTTTTTTTCAGCTATGAAAGAATATAAACCAACAGATGCCACTACAAATCCATCATTGATTTTAGCTGCTGCTAAATTAGAACAATATCAGAGTTTGATTAAAAAAGCTGTTGAATATGGAAAAGCACATGGAAAGTATGAATTTTTATAATTTTAATTTATTGAGCTCATTTAAAGCAATGTATTGTTATAAAATAGTTTTTTTTTATGTAAAAAAACTTAACCTTGACCATTAATTACACAGGAAGCAATTTCTTTTCTGTTGCAAGAGATTTTTTAACAGATGTTACGATACTTCTGTATCCCTGATTTCAAATCTGCAATCAGTTTATCTTTTCTAGCTATAATTTTTTGATTTATTAAGTAACACTTTCAGTCTACTATTTGTTTAAATGTTCAAGTTTAAAGATGTTATATATTTCATGGGATCACGTAAATGTTACAACAAACTGTTAGGAAAGTTAGGGTGCATAGTCGAGATTAAAATTGCATAGGAATTTCTGCCCGATGTGTCATCATTCGTCATTAGGGTCGCTTCCCTATTATGAACTGTTTCTTTGTATGAATAGTTTGTAATATAGGGAATTGCCAGTAGCCATGTACAACGACATTTTCAAACATGGATTTTTGTGCAGTTTCTATCCTGATGAAACAGCTTTAACTAACTCCTTTTGAAGTTTATCGGAACATTTACGTTAGCCACTGCTATATATAACATTTTTAAACTCTTAAATTTCAGCAAAAAATATGTTACAAATTTTATTATTAAAAAATCTGTAGCTTTTGGAGAAAAACTAATTTCAGATTTGAAATGCCCACACCCGAATTAGGCAAGATCAAATATTGTTATAAATGCTACAAAGCATTTGCTCCCTATTGTTATCAATTATTTGAAAACTGAAGACTATATTGTGTTATATTTTTTTAAAATCTAATTCTTTGCAGTTGTTATTTTAGAATTTTTATTTACTTTTTATCTTTTTTTTTTCTATTTTACAATCTTGTATCTAATTAATGTAGTATTAGCAAAGAAACTTTATACTTGTGTTTTATACATCCCCTAACACTGTTTTCAGCTTATATAATTATTTACTTATACAATTTCTTTGTACAGAACTGAAAATGAACAGCTCTCATCTGCCATGGATAAATTATTTGTCTTGTTTGGGTGCGAAATACTTAGAATAATTCCAGGTCGTGTTTCTACAGAAGTAGATGCTAGGTAAGTTAGTTGCTATTAAAATGCATTTGTATATTTTATTCATGTAATTTTAAATTTTGTTTGTATGAGTGTTTTGTAATTTTTTGTTTTGCAGTGTATATGTCTAAAATTTTTAGAATTAAGATAGCTATTTCTATTCATTAAAACATACTTTTATACCAGAATTTTGAGAGTCAAGAGGAAGCTATATTGCCGGGGAAATCTTTTATGGCAAATTCTTTTTTACCTACCTAAATAATTTAAAATATTGAAAAAGTAAATTTAATTCAACTTAAAGTAAATCATGAAGTTTAGAATGTGGAAGTAGTTTTTTCAATATATCTAAAATGCAAACAAATTATGTTAAGATAACTTGATATTACAAATTTATCCTGCAATAGTATGATTCTATGGCAAGAGGAGTTCTCTTGATAAACAGACTGAAGATTAGTTATAATTTACAGACAAAATGTTTGTTACATATTAAGTAAACTAATTAAGTAACATTTATAATTTTATTCTGTTTTATATTGAAAACATTCATATGTAAATTTAACTCTTCATTTATTGCTTGTTATCAGCACAGCTATTAATGCACCTGTTTATTGTGTAAAAGGACCGATTTTATAGTATAAATACTTAGCTTGCCAATCTACTTAAAGAGTTTTAGTACTAGAAAGTTGTGGCTATTTAATTTTTTGCTTTTCGAAATTCAATTGTTTTGATTGAGGTTTTGGTAAATTATTTTGAAAATTTTTGCTTATCACAAACATAATTTTTCAATCATTTATTTAAAATTTATTTTATACTCTACCTTTGATGTTTGAAGCGAGAAGTGTAGTTTAAGTGTACCCTTGTCCTAATTATTAGGAAATGATGATTTATGTTTTTTATTTTTGCCTCATTACTAATACAGTAATTACATTTTATTTTGCATAATTTCAAACACAGTAATTATGTTTAATAAGTCAGATTTTTTAAGGTGAAATTACATTGATTGACTTTAAAAGAAATAGTACTGCAATTAAATTTTACTGTTCTGTAGAGAAGGATGTTCTTTGTAACCTGGAAGTTATATTTTATTCAGAACCATTTCTAGTGTTTTTGGCACTTTTCATACTTGGGGCAGTAATTAACAAAAGTTGAGAACATATTCAAATTGTGTAGAACTAACTATACAAATTATTCTAAAAATACTGATTATACATATTCATGTAGACAGTTATATACTATTTAAGAATATGTATGCATTTATCTCTGTAACACTTTTATAATAGGTATAGTGAATTATTTAAAAAGTTCAGAAATATGTGTTGAGGAGGGGTGAGACAAGGCACAGTGGTGATAATTTACCTATATTTTATTTTTTTGAAAACATAATTTAAATACAAAATGCATCTGATCCTTATATTTTACTCTTTGTTAGTATTTAAAACAAAACATATCATTTTATAATGGAAATAAATATTTTAATGAGAAATTGCTAAAAACTCAAAAGTTTTACAAATATAGAATATAACCCATATACATAGTTTCAATAGACACCCCCATATAAAATTAGATAGACATCTCAACTTTTAATTCTAATATACCTAATAATTCTGTGATTAGATTATTTTCCATTGTAATGTTCAAGTTATTTCTTTGAACCTATTGTACTAATCCCCATTAAGCAAAATTTTTAAATTATTGCACTAAAACCTTATTTTTCTGAAGAAAAAAATATGTAGAAACCCTTTGATTTATACTTTAACTATTAGTTACTTCATTTAAAATAAATTTAAGACAAACTACTTGTCCAAATAGAGAAATGATTCACTCTGTACTGCATGTGAATAAAGCTAAAATAACAAGCACAAATGCCACATATAACATAACACACTTGTTACATGGACATAATGACACAAATATCATATCGACATGTTTTTAACCTGTATTATTGTACAAAAATGATCATATGTATGTTTATGCTTCATTATTTGTGTTCTCTTCATTGTTTTTTTAAAAATATTTTTCTCTATTTAAAAAAAAAAAAAAAATTTATTATTTTTTTGAAAATTCTGCAGTTCTGAAAAAGTGTAATGTAGATTACTCACTAAACTTACATTATACTTTTCCTCACAATAATATCATATTTCCTATTATCAGCTCCTAAAATATATATCTCTGAATTGATTTTAATACATGTTTGGCTTAGTTCTAGATCTCCTTGAAAACACTGATGGATTGTAAGTCGATCCTATAACAATAATAAATCACATCACAAGTATCTTTTTTAACTGCATATACAACAGTTAAAGCTCAGTTAACTGCATATTAACAACAATTTAACTGCATATTAACAGTTAAAGCTCATACTAGAATATGAATTAAAAATATTTAAGAGCATAAAATGTGAAAAGTTCCTTTCTTCAAACTAATCCTTTTATGTTAATTTTAGAATAATATTTAATCTAATCTATTCAAATTCAATATTGTCACAATGTTTTTTTCCTATTGTTTTTCAGCGCTTTATTTTGCTTTGCTTTTTCCGCCCCAGTCTGATTTTCTAGTCCTTTTCTCTTCTACCTGCGAAAAAGTATGGCATGAACTTGACTGGAAAGAATACTAATCATTAAAAAAGTTATAAGGCTATTCCCACCCACCCCAGCAAAAAATTGAAATTAAACCTAAAAAATTCCCATTGACATATTAAATTTAACTAAAAAAAAAATACTCTCCACCAAAATGGTTAAAAAAATTTCACAAAACTATAGAACATTGTTTTTTATTAAAAGTTGTTTTTTACTTTATATTATTATAGTTTAATTTTATAGCATTTCTGATTGAACATTGTATGTTATGCCTTATTAACGATACTTTTTCTTTTGTATCACATTCAACAATTATTAAGTTTTTTTCTTCTTATTTTTAACATAATTGTGTTTTCAAATGTGATTTTGTTTATTGTTAGGCTGTCTTTTGACAAGGAAGGCTCCATTGAAAAAGCTCGCAAGCTGATTCAACTGTATGAAGAAGAAGGAATTCACAAAGACAGAATTCTTATTAAGTTAGCTTCTACATGGGAGGGCATTCAAGCAGCAAAGTAAGTTTAAACATAATATAAAAGCAGACTTTATAAAATATTTTTCTTTTGAAAATTAAATGAAAGTTTTATGAAAAATATTTAACAATTAAAGTGTTGATGTGATTACATATTTAAGGAATTTACAGTATACTTGCTAGTATAAAAATTCATGAATTTTTTTTTTGTAAAACATTCAATTGATTATTTATTTTAAACTAAAGTTTTAAAAAATACAAACAAAAGATAAGTATTTAGCTTGAAAATTTAATGACTTTATGCTTAGTAGTTATTTTAACTTTTCACTTTAACAGCTTAAAGAATTTGTTTAGAAATATCACAAGGGATTTTTTAATTTGTTAAAATTTATACTTAGCTCTTGATAAAGAGATATCTAGAAAAAAAAATCTAGAAATTTGACATATTTTTTTATTTTATTTTTTTTAGAAATTAAGTAAATAAGTTAACAATATTGTAAACCAACTAAAGTTTGTATGCTTGCATTGCAAATTTTTGTTTGGAAATTAAATATGAATAAGATTAGATATAATAATTATCAGAATATTTCTTACCAAAAGTTAGAATTATATTTTTAAAATACTGGAATTATGCCTACATACTAAATACTGTTTCATGTCTATAGATTTTATTTAATGGTATTTAAATATTTTATGTTGTTTTAGAGTTTTAGAAGAGCAATATCAAATTCATTGCAATATGACTCTTCTGTTTAACTTTGCACAGGTAAGTTTTAGTGAAATTACTTTTTGTGGTTTCAGATTTCATAAAACTCTTTTTTCAAAATNAAATTGGTCTTGCAATAATTTAAAATTTTTTTTTTTAACCATTAAGGAAACAATAAGTTCTTTGTTATGTATATTATGTATAGAAATAAAACAAGCAAAAAACTGATTTTAAAATTTATGTACCAATTACAAAAATGAGGGAAATTCATTAAAATCAGTCTAGAAAAGTCGGAAATTTTTTGTCTGACTGTTTGTGGCCACTCCATAAACTGTATTACTGAAATCTCTTAAGCATTATAAATTCAAGTGACATTGAATATAGTGTTAGATAACATACTACTATAAATTAATTTCTAATATCTGTAAAGTTATAGTTAGAAGTAAAGTTATTTATTTTAATAGATTGGTATGAAATACTCAACATGAATGAAATACTCATATGAATACTAATACTATGAAAAACTTAACATATACTGTCTTTATATTATATTTTTTATCAGGACAATTTGATAGTTTATAATTAAAACTTAAAAAATTAATTTTACGTTTTGCTTACATGGCTTAGCTTGGTAACGCCTGCGATTTTGATTCACCATTTATACCAACTGTAAGCAAAGAATTAAATCATAAGTCATTTTTAGGGTGTACTTATTTAAAGGAATTTTTACCAACTTTATTAAGTTTTTTAAAATTACTGATTGTGCTATTTCTAACTCTAGAAAAAGCTTTGCTTAAAATAAGAAATGTATTAGTTGATAGCTTTTATTGTTCTAACTTAAATATTATTTTAATTGTTGTTAATTAGTTAATGCCATTTTATTGTTTTAAAAAAAGTCGTTTGCGTTATCATATTCTCCTTTCAAGTTAGTGCTCACGTGTAATTGGAGTTCATAATTATTGTTTTACTTGCTAATTAGGTTTGCACTTAATCATTTATTTCAATGATTATTTTCAATTAAATCTAGTTGTTTTTCTTTTAAAGGAATGCTCCGGCTTTTTCTTCTTTCATACAACTGACTTAAATGGGAAAAAAAATATATAGTTTCAGATTGTATTTTCATACGAAAATTAAAATTTTTTGGATTTCTGTTTATTAAAGTACATATTACTTTTCATTATCCAAAGCATTTTTTTTAATATAACTGTCGAATTTTCTTAAAAATTTAATTTCATGTCCAATTGAGATATGTTTTAAATTTTAAAATGTATAATATTTAAGAATGTCGCATTCAATCTTCTAAAAATGTTTTTAAATTTGTTTTCTAACCCTTAAGAGGAAGGTTTTTATTCTCCAGTAATTAAAAATAATAATAATAAGTAAATTTAAAAAAAATAATAAAAACTTAACTGGCATAAAAATTTTATTTTCTGGAAATCATGGTTTAAATTATTACGGTTTCACTGGAAATCTAATCTGTACTGAATTACTACTGTCATAATGAAATCTTTTTAAAAATGTTTAAGTTTTCCAGATTTTGTAGATTTATCTAGATATTTTAACATTGCTAATTATATTATAAATCTGATCATTTCTAGGCCGTAGCTTGTGCTGAGGCAGGCGTCACACTAATCTCTCCCTTTGTGGGTCGAATATTAGACTGGTATGTTGCCAACACAGATCAAAAGTCTTTTGAACCTAGAGAAGATCCTGGTGTTAAGAGTGTCACAAAGATTTACAATTACTACAAGAAACATGGGTACAAAACGGTTGTGATGGGTGCCTCATTCAGAAACACTGGTGAAATCATGGCATTGGCTGGCTGTGACTTGCTCACAATAAGGTGAGAATAAAAATGTTACAACATACTTTTTCCTTTTTAAAATAGATATTTTGCTTTGTAATAAACCAATCAATGATTACAAACCAATCTTACTTATATAATTGTAACATTTGAATGCATGTTCTTTCTAATTGGACAACTTTCTGGCGTTCAAATTTTTCAATTTTGGTAAAAGATTTTAATAACATAAATTTTTAAGTAATTATAGTTTTACATCAATTGCAGAGACTGCCTTCTAACTTTTGTATGATTAATATTTTATGGTTTTAAAAGTAAAGGAGTAATCTATGCATAATATAATATGAAACCAAACACATTAGCATTAGTTGAAAACAAATAGTTTAAGATTAAAATATGAAATTCACCTTATATTTGTGAAACAAAAATTGTTTTATTTGTTCTTTTTTAGCTATCGATAAAAATGTTAACGTTGTTTTTATAATAAAAAATGTTTTATGCATATTAGAATTTTCATTTTACACCCTTATGCTTCAAAACATCCAAACTACTTTAATTGCTATGCAATCATGGCCAGTTTTTACAATTTTGTTGTAAAGATTTGGTCTTAGTTGACTGCTGTGTTCTTTGATGAAGCTCTTCCTTTTCAACTGGTCAAATTGTACTATTTATTTTTCTCTGTGAATGAAAAAAATTCATGGGCATTGTTTCAACAATGAATTGAGAGATAACTTATGACAGCTGCTTTTGTAATGAATGAGTTTTTTAGATTGCATGCTTCCTATATATGCTTCAATTATTGTTTTTGTATTGTTTGTTATTATTAAAATACATGTATTAAAATTTTAAGATAGTTATGTTACTTGCAATTCAGTATTTTGTCTGTAATATTAGTAAGTTCTTTATTTAGAAATATTTTTTACCTTTCAATTTTAGTCCAAAGCTTTTGAAAGAATTAGCAAGTTCTAACAATGAGGTTCAGCGATATTTAAATCCTGAAAATGGTAAGTATAAAATGTAATAGGAAAGTAATTTTACATAATAGTTTATGTGGAATTACTTCCAATTGATTAACATTTATTTTATTTTAATTAAAATAGTAATATTTAACGAAGGGTAATTCTTAATACATGATTTTAATTGGTTTTTAAAGCTAAATTGTGTTTTCTGTTAGTCTTTTTGTTTATTTTTATATATTTTGTTTTTATCTTATCATCTGACCAGTCATGTTAACTGTATTAGGTATTTTAAAAGAATATTATAAATCATTTGACCAAAAATTAAATTTTTATAATGGATTTAATTAAATCTTGAGTTTCAACTTATTACTTACTTCGCAACTTTTGTTTATAAATTCATCCAAAATATTTGCTTTCCTAAATATCTTTTTTACGGGTATGGATTGATTGAAAGAATGGTAAATGCTTGAGATTATTTTTATCACTTTAAATGCTAGGTCATCACCTAATCAGATTTGGATATCTTTCACAGATTATTTTAGTGTTCTTAATAATTTTAATACAAAATTAAAATGATCCTGTTATAATTTTTAAAACAAAAATTTTGATACATTTTAATTTACAAAAAATATTTTTGTTCTTTAAAGAATTTTTAAAGAATCTATCCATCGAATAGAAAAACTGAATTAATCAAAAAATTAAGATTTTTGCACCATTTTGTCAGGTGGCAGATACTTAATACTTCACACGATCCTCTGGGATGACAACCTGTGTAAAAAAGGGGGGGAAAACTATAGCAAAATTTGTTTCACTTTAGTATATACTAAGGTTTTTTTAAAAATTTTTTGTCTAATTAAAATATAAAGCAATTATTCAAGATAATTAAAAAAATGTTAAAAAATGAATAAGTTTTAATATTTTACTTGCAATATTAAACTATCTAATTTTCAAAAAAAAAAAAAAACAATTTTAAAGGTTACTTTTTCAAAATTTTTAATAATTTGTTTTCTTGGCTATTTTGTTTTTAAAATTTAATTCTGCCCAAACTATAGCTGTAAAAACTAATTTTGATATATCTAATTTCAGCAAAAAATTTAGATATTGAAAAAGTATCTTATGATGAAGCCAAGTTTCGATGGGAACTCAATGATGACCCAATGGCCAATGACAAGTTGTCTGACGGAATCAGGAAATTTGCTGCTGATGCTATTAAATTGGAAGATTTGATGAAATCAAAATTTTAATCTTCCCATATCATTTTTTTAACTAAAAAGAACTTTTTTCCATAAACCTTAGTGATCTTTCCTGTTATGAACTTCTGTTATGCCATGTATACATTTTAAGTTCAAGAGGAAAAAAAATATGATTTACTATGATTTCAAGTAAGCGGCTTGTTGAGAATATTTTGCTATGTATTTTTGAATCTCTATTTTTGCTACATTAAATTGGCTATGAAAGTTTTTGTCTGTATCCTTGATTTAGTCTTACATATCTTTGAAGATGTTTTACTCCAAGAAAAGTAACTGTTGAAAAAAAAATCTTTTTTTTCTTTCTGTGTACATGTTCACAAGTCCCAAAGGTTGATACTCATTATTTTTTGTTTTTGTACTTAAAACATTAAATGACATGGTAATGTGTAATAAAGATAGAGCTCTAGGCAAGTCTTTACACACTCAAACTAGGTTTAAAGAATAACTTATTGATTCAGTAACTTATAATAAAATGCTCATCACCATGCTTTCCATTCTTTCTTCCAGCAATCACATGTCTAAAAACGGCTTAGCTGACATACCGTTTGAGTGAATGGAATAAAATTTTGTATGTAGGTATCAAGATCTAAATGTTCAAGAATGATGTCAAAAATGATTGTGTAGCTCTCATTGTGGTGGTTACAGTGAGAAAATTTTAAAATGGCAACACAGTTTTTTTTTTTATTGAAACTTAATCATTGCAATATTTTTAGCACAAGAAATTTTGAGATAAGGCTTTTGCCAAGTGTCACCATTTTTCGTGACCACTAATTAAAAGAAGACAGTCTGATGAAAGTCTTTGAGAACAGAGAAAAAATGATGGATATGTCAAATAGTTTTTAGAACAAAAAATGCTTTCTTTTTAATTTTTTCTCAATTTTTATTTTTCTCTGTTCACATTAGTAGTCATGAAAAATTTTGACCTTTGGCAAAACTCTAGAGCCACAATTTCTTGTTGTATGTTTTAACACTATATTTGGGTTTTTTACTGCAAGGATTACATTACGATCCATAAAATGGGTGTTTCCATTTGAAAATTTTATCACCGTAACTGTAATTGTGAAAACTAAGAAGTTGCTTTTTGACATTTTTTAGCACTTAGATTAAAATTTTATTCTGTTCACTCAAAAGTTATGCTCTACAGAGGGTCAGATGTTGGCAATGTTATTTTATAATCACTTTGTACTGAGTAATATACTGACTATGAGTAATGAATTAATGGGAATCTGGAGAGCTGGATCTCCAGAAAAAAAGTAGTGTGTAGGGAAGAAAGAATTAAATGAGTGGAGTATAGACAGATAAATGTGGTTTCTTCACAAGATACAGGAATGCGTTACTCAGGATTGATTTTATATTATACCAAATATAAGGAATAATAAATACAAGTCTTCTACTTTCCAGAAAAAATAAATAAACTGGTAGTGAAAATTTCTACTTGTAATCAAAAAAAATCTGCGAATAAAAATTTGCATTTGGTCTTAAATAGGCCACTTAATTCAAATAAATGTGAGCAAATATACATATTAAAATCGAGAATAAAAATATTCACAGAAAAAATGGTAAAAATGAAATGTCATTATTAACAGTTTATCTTTTCTAGAGGCATTGTCACTAGTTCTGAATTGCATACTCTATCAATAACATCAAATTAAATCTAATATCAAAGGTTTAATTCCGTTTTTTTTTTTTTTTTTTGAGAATAATAGTGTATAAAACAAAGCATTTTTATGCAAGAAATTGCATAGAATAGAGAATTGACAAAAATTGTTGCATAAAACATTTTTGAGGGAAGATATAGATTAGACAGTATTAAGATCCACCATGTTACTTACAATGGAAGAATATTTCATGATCAGTTTTTTTTTATTAGTGTAAAAGTTAAGTTTTTCGTTTGTGGGGATTTGAAAAATTTGATGGCACAAAAAATACAGTATTTCTTTAAGTCTTAATAAAAGAAATATCCCTTAAATTAAAAACGAGAAATAACATAATAAGGCTGATATATTCCTAGATTTTTAATTTCATTATTTCTTAATTTTATATTCACATTAAATTCTCAGTTCTTCACTCCATAAATATAGCTAACTTATTTTTCTATGTAGGTGAGCTTGTACACTAGAGGTACAAGTCACATTCTACTTTTAGAATCTTTTCCTCAAACGGCTTGCACTTAAACATAATTTATTCCATTATATGTTTGCTATAATTTAATTTCTTATGGAGTTTTCTTCTTTCACCCAAATTTACTAAAATATATGATCAGTATTATTAGCATGGTTTGACTTAATAGCAAAGCTCATTTTTGATAAATCACCAATTATGGATCTCTCTCTATCAAGTGACTACTTCTTTTTGTTACTTTAAAACTAACTTTTGATCTTGTAAGTAATGTCAGTTTAATTTCTTTGACCATTTTCTTGCAATACTCATACTGTTAAAAATAACATAAATTAATCTTTAAATTTTTTAAAGAAGACCCTTTAAAATTACTATCTGCAGAAAACCCATATATATGAGTCAGATCAAGCAATATTTTCAGAAATTTTCATATTTCTATCTGTATTTTATTTAATACCTAAGTGAAACCAAAGAAATCTTGTCAAATCTGTCACAATAATCTTATCAAAGGCTCAATCTATAAAATTAAAATCTAAATTATCCAATTTCAACACCTTTTATTTCAAACTTCTTCATTTTATTTTTATTAAGAACAAGAGTTTAAAAGCTCTAATAAATAAAATTGATTTATTTCTTATCATTCAATCATAAAAGCGATTGTGCAGTGAGCAAAGTTAACTTCATATTATATATACGAAGAGTATGAAAAATAATACAAATTAAATGTCTCTTAATATTTAGAAACATATATGTACAAATTACTATAATTAACAACAATAGTGATTTGAGAATCAAACTTTTTCATTTGAATGTAGATTGTGAGTTGTATAAAGCCTGTTGATTATTTCAATATTATGACTCAGTTGATTGACATAACTTTCAGCTTCTTTCATTATTTCTTCATCAGAAATTTCTTTATTGTCGTTCAGCAGAAGTAATAATGACTTTCTTCCAGGGGCGGCATAAACTATGAGCTATTATAAAGAAAGAAAAAACTTAATTTATTGCAAAGTAAAATTTTAATGAGATAACATAAGCTAATAAGAAGAAATTTAATCAACTTAAGCTTTACAATTTCGTGATTAAGTGCTGTAAGTGGTTTCATTCTTTTTCATATGCTTCGAAGAATAATAAAAAAAAAGCTATGGGCATCAGAACGCGTGGCTGGAGAGAGGATAGTTGAGACGATATGGTTTTAATTTAATGGGATAAATTAATAGTAAATATGACTAATAATTTAGAAGTTAAGGTTTTTTATTAAAACATGAAAATTTTTGACCTAAACCTATTTATGCATCTGACATTGCTACTTAGGCAAGGGAGTTATTGTTTTCTGTGTATTTTTTTATGCTAAATTAAATGAGGCTTCAAAGTTGATAGAATTTATAGTACAAAAGTCTTTATAAAGAGAACAATTTTGTACTTATACTTATTTACATATTTAACATTGCAATAAGGAGAATGTAATGGATCTTGAGTATTTTTTGTGGTAAATAGAATGTGTTTAAAACAAAGTTAATCAAATAAATATCTTAGAATTAAAATTTTTTGTAAGGATTTGTGTGTATTTTGTTACCTGACAGTGCTATATTAAGTGATGCACTGTTTCTTTTATATATTTATAATTATAAAGATGATAAAATGAATAGTTTCTAAGTTATAAAAGATTCATGTGTACAAGTTAAAGTCAAAAATGGTAATTTTAATACATAAAACTCTTATCACAACTTAACTATTTTTTAATTCTATCGACTTCGGCGAGGTCTCGTTCGATTCAGTGTAAAAAGAGCTAAGGAAACAACACATCTATGCAGCAATAATCAACACATAAATAAGTGAAGTCAAAATTTGTACACTTTAACACAAAAACTTTCATAACTTCTAAATTATTCGATCAACTTGTTTTTGGTTTCATTGTTCTAAGTTAACTCTTTAGTACAAAAGACCTAACAAAATATTTTGCAAATAATGTACAGAGAAAATGGATTAATTCCATTTTGAATTTCCATATGTGATGAAACATCCAAATGATCAATATTTAAATCAAATGAAAAATTTTTAATGACTTCTCTATGCCTGACATATATCTTTTCCAATTGTAAAAATATAATAATAGTCTGATTAATATCCATGAAAATCTAAAGCTATCTAACAAATTTTAATGTTTGTTTTTCCCCCACATGTGAAATTGACGAATGCAAAACATATCTAAAGCCATCAGTAAAAAAGAAAAACTTTGAACAAGTTGGAAATATGGTTCTTTGATCAAAAAGATATTGAAAACAATTAGTAAAAATAATTAAAAAAAACATGTTCTACTTATATATTTAAATTTTTTTTTTCAGTTAGAGAGAATAATTTTTTAAATTTTATTGTTGTGGTTCAAAATTTTTAATTTTAAAACTGTAAACTAACCCCAAATAGTTTTTGAACGAACCATCCATGATAAGGCTTCAATTTTTCTTCATATGCTTTATTAAAAAAAGGCGTAAGATCTTCTGCACAGGATCCATCTTTGGTATCGTCAATAAGGCAGGTAATGAGAATTTGAACATATTCTAAAGCTCTAGAAACGAAGAAAATTAAGAAAAATAATAAGTTTTATTTACTGTGCATAAGCTGCAGGTATATAGAACTCATAAAATAAGTTAAAAATATAAAACATAGAAAATAATATAAGGAAGATTATTAAAAGAGAAAAAGAAAAATTATTGAAATAAAACATTTTTAAAAATATTAAAAAAACTTTTTTATTTGTATTTGAAAGGAAAAAAAAACCTAAATTTTTTTTCTTTGTCTTTTAAGTAAAAAATATTTATTCTTCACCTATCATTATTTATTATTATATTATTTCCCATGTTTTCTCTATATTTTTTACACGCACACACATATATATTGTAGCTTCTCATAAAGAGTGTCTTTAGCAAACATATATTGCAAAATAGTAAAGCAATCTCTTTTTAAATATTTGACTTTAATGAATATAGGTCAAACATGAACATGATTTGTACTAATTTATTTTTTTATTTTCAAAATAAATATTCCCCCCTTTATTTTCATAAAAAAATTTGTTGGTTTATGTATGAGATTAAATAAGGACAAGCCACACAAAATAATTGCATAATACTATATTGCTAAACTTGGCTAAAAAGAAGAACACTAAGTCACTCAATAGGAAACACCATCAATCGTTTAATTAGAAGAAAATAAAAGATTTGTTTTTGTAATGCCAATTTTTTATATTTGATTATAGCTCATTAGTTTACGAGAATATTATCTTAAAGCTTTCTGCAGAGAATTATATATATATAAAAAAAAAAAAAAGTTTGCCTACAGCTACAGTAGGGAACCGATTATCCGGAACGGTCGGGACCATCGCTATTCCGGATAACTGATTTTTCCGGTTTTCTGAATCGCTACAAAAAGCCGTTTTTTTTATTGTTAAACAGAACTAAAAAAAAAAACTTGGAAATAATCTTAAAAATAAGAAAAAAACAATGAAGTAATACACTAATGATTATTTCCAAAATGATGGTAAGGTAAACATCTTTAAAAAAAGAAAGAAAAATCAAAAAATCTTGTGAGGAAAAAAACGGTTTTCCTCACACTTTCCGGTTTTCTGATTTCCGGATAACGGGTTCTGTACTGTATATTTATATTAAAAAAAGATATTTTTTTCTAAACAGTTTGTTAACCTAAGTTTTGATGAGTTGGCACTCACTTCATTTTATTCCTAACAAAATTTTAATAATGAAAAAAAAATTACTTGCTTAATTTAAAAATATACCTTTTCAGCCATAACAAAGCATCAATACCAACTTTGTTAGTTTCTTCAAGTTCATATGCAATAACATCATTTATGGTTTCAAATTTTGTTTTATCAGATTGATGAATCTTATACAATTTCTACAAAAAATAATTAAAAAAAAATGAAAAGTTAATGGACTATACAGAAATGAAAAAAATAATAAAACTAATAAAATTTATGTGCAATTATTACCTCTATGTTTCCATTAATATCCTGCTTAACTGGTGTGAATACAGTTCCTAAAATTTCTAAAATTTAAAATAAAAAATAATCACAATTTAATTTAAATTATTTAATATAAAATGATATTCAATTGCAACATTACATAATACATATTTTAATCGGGTAGAAATAAAAATTTTAGACAAATAATCCTTTCAAAAGAATAATTTGTTGTTGTTGTTTTTTAAAAGAAAACAAAATTACACCACAAAATTAGCCTTATAGTTGTATGATACTTGTATTTTTCCATAGGAGTAAATTTTAAATCAATGACTATCATTTTACTATTGAACCAGCATCTGTACAGTCTGCACTCTCTTCATATTTAGAGGAAGAATTCATGAAAAAAATTTCATGATAGAATTTTTTTAGTAAATTCATGAATGAGGTCCATTATTTATTTTGTTTGCATCTTAAATTGTTTTATAACTTCAACAGTTTAAGGGGCTCCTATGATAGAATTGGGTCCCAGAAGTAGATTAAAAGCAAATGTGCTCTCAGTTTTTTCTGAACATTCACTTTGTTTAGAAAAGCTAATAACATTTGAATTTGACTTACACTATTACTAGTTTGTTATAAAATTTAAATAATGAACTATTAGTAAATTATCAGTAGGCCTTGGCCCTCTATTGGCTGCCGCGCCACTGAGTTTAGTTTAGTAAATTAATTGATTTTTGCTTAACTTTTTTACATGTATTCATATTACTATTCCAGGTAAAAATCAAAACAGAACAGTTGTGTGTCACAAATTGATTAAGGAAACTTAACAAAAAAATAATTTTTTTCTTTCCTGGAAGAAATATTTGAAAATACAAGGTAATCTTATTAACATTACCCGATGAGTAACTATGCAATAGATATTGTTCTTTATATTAATTACAACTAAAAAAATGTAGGGAGGCATAAAATCGTCCTCATGAACCAGAGATCTAGACAAAATGGAGCCTCACTAACGAGAAACTACTGAATCTAGATATTTTTTTTTGTTCAGTAAAGAATTGTAAGACTTCAGATACTAATACATGATTTAGATAACAATAATGCAATAAATGGCATAGATCAAGCCCATATCTGAAAGTGAACAGCACTAAATGTTATTTAATCACTACAGTTTATTTTGATAATCAGATATTATTAATAAATTCTTATTTAAAAGGTCAAAAGAGACTAATTTTCTATTGTTGCATTTCCTTCTATAAATATTTTAAAATTTATATATATTGAACTCAGTTTATTGTGATCATATGAAATAAAATGGGATCCATATTTGAATATATAAAATATGGTCTGTTATAACATTATCTAAAAAGTAACTATGCAATATACACTGTTTTTAACATTAATTACAATTTAAGAATGTTGGGAGGATTAATAAGAGATTACTAAATAAAATTTTTTTGTTCAGATAAGAATTATTTGACTTCAAAAACTAATACATAACTAAGATAGCAATTATGCAAAGCATGATATAGATCCAGCTTATATTTGATGGTAAACAGCTCTAAATGTTATTTCATCACAAAAATTTATTTTGATAATCAGATGACTATGATGTAATAAATTCAACGTTAGACTCATTTTGAAAGGTTAAACAAAACTAATTTTCTTTTTGCTGCATCTACTTCAATATATATTTTAAGAGGTACATAATATATATCTTGAATTCAGTGATCTCTGTATAACAAATTTATCACAACACTCCTGCTATCAACACAATGAACAAAATCTTTAGTAATGTTAGATGGGAATCCAAAATATTGGGATCCTTATCTAATCCTCTTTAATTCTAGTTCAGTTGAAATTTCTTTTAATTCTTTTCTTGCCCTTTTGTTTCCACACCTCCCTGTAAAATAATGAGGCTTTGCTAGACCAATTCTCTTTTTCATAAAAGTAATTTTTTGTTCTCCATTTGGATATAATTCTTACGGTATATAAATAAATAATATAATAATCAGATTTCGAATTTTGTTTAGCCGTCAGAGCAAGGAAAGCAAAATACATACAATTTTATACACATATTTTAATTTTCACTGTTTCTTCTCTTATGATAAAACATCAGTAAAGGTTTTTTATTTAAGAATCAATATGATTCTTTTAACAACTCTATTATTAACAACTCTATTATACCTAAACTTATAGTTCAAGTTACAGGAAATCACTAGTTAAAAGACAACACAAATATATTAAATTGAAAAATAATGTTTTTTTCCCCTCTGGATTTACAAGATTATTAAACAAAGAAAAAGCTTTATTTACCAACAAATTGTACAATTCCTTTTGATGCTTCGAGAAATGGAACTAAAGGAATTTTTTCCTCATCATTAATTTTTGGGAAATGACTTACATTAGTAAAAAACATCGTTCGCCGATAGCAGAACTAATTACTTTGTATTGATAAACAAAGAAGCAGACAATGTACATGTGCTTATTTTTGAACGATAACGATTACTAATTAATTTTTTTTAAATTTTTTTATTATACTCTTTGTAATTGTTTCGTTGTTTTATTTAAGTTAATAATCTTAGATTAATAATTCTACTTTTTTTAATAAGTCTAGAATCAAAACTGTGATTTATATTAAATATGAAAAACTTTTAAATAAAATAAGATAAGAAACTGAGACAAAGTTTATACACTTGAGTAAAATTATCATATGCTTCAAAAAAAATTTGAGGATGGTAATAAAAGTCGATGTCGATCAAAAATTAGAAAATAATTTTCATCACCGGTTGATAACCTTTCGTTCAAAAATAAAAGACTTTTAAATCGATTAAAACCATGGTAGTTCGAAAAATTAGCAAAAAATTGTACAAAGCAAGGCATTAGTATAAACTGAAAAAACTCCTTGCGTAGGATACCTTTATACGAGTTGATATACGAAGCAGTTTCTCATCGGTATTTACTTATTTTTTTTATCTCTCTTTATTTATTTATTACTACAGCACAATTTTTCACCACAATTTTGTTCTCGTAATAAAAGCTAGTTTCATAAATCTTTTTCACGAAAGATTTGTTTTATTGTACGTTTAGTAATTATGTAATTCCCTGAATGTTGTATATTATTATTTCACTTTATTTTATTTCAGATGATTAATTAGGTTTTTGTGGTATATGTGTTCTTATTACTGATTCTATTATGAATAATTCTGATTAATGTAGCTATTCTGATTCAATAACGGATGCTTTGTTACATTTTTGATTTTATCGATCTTAAAGTATTTTACTCTATGTTGTCCCTATTATTTTTTCATTCACATTTATTGAAATAACTAAACTACGTATTTATTCTACTTTCCTATCTTGATCAAGCAACTTGCAATTTTATACAACGCATGTATTGATATTTTTTTAAGAGTTAAACAAATGAATATTAAAACTCGAGTTACCTATCCATTTCACCAGCGCAGGTGATGAAGTCGCCAATGAAAAAAACAGTAAATTTAACTGTTTTTTTAAAAATATTTCTCAGTTGAAGAAGAGGGAATATTTTCGTATCGTGATCGTTCATGTCAACGGGTAAGTTTCCTATGGTGATCCATGGCAGAATAATCACCGAGTCTTGGCAATTTCTAGCCATTAACCAGTTGAGAACAATCTTAACCAGTTGAGAATCTTAACCAGTCCCCATCTTAACCAGTTGAGAACAATCCAAACAAAGTAAATATTTGTAATTGTAGTCAGGATTAAACCTATAATACTCATAATTTTACCAGTGTGTAATTATTATTTAAAAGTGAGTTATTTATTTTTTTAAAATGGAATATGAGTAAAAAGACAGTGTTTTTCAAGAGATGGCCGCTCATTTCCACAAAAAGGGCAAAGAGGGTGCATTTATAGGGATCAAAGGCCAGATAGCATGGGTAGCTCTTATAAAACCGCTTAAGGAGAGCACTAGAAAAATGGTTTTATTTAAAAGTATTATGATATTGTCTATATAACAATCTTATCCCTGCTTTCAGATATAATTACATTTTTTGACTAGTGCAATGAGTACTAATGGTGAAGAACGAACTCAGGCACCCCCAGAATCCCAATCTCATGGCTTTCAAGCAGCTATGGTAAGTTTGAGTGATTTTCACTTTATTTTAAATTTTGTTTTATACAGTTTTTCAAAGCTCTTACAAAATTCTTAAAAATTTTTCTAAATTTTAATAATATACAAAGATTTTGACAAAGAAACTCTTTTTAATACTTTAGTATTTTTTAAGCTTATATCTTCAGTTTTATTGTAAAATTTGTGTTTGGGACAAGTTAAAAGAATAAAAAGCTTGAAACAAGACCTCATATAAGTTTATATCTTTTTATTTATATCTAAATATTTAAAAATAAATAAATACTAAAGAATGTTTTTTCTTCTTATTTTTAATTAAAGAGTTTTTGTTCATGATTATCAAAATTAGGTTTCACCTTTGAATGCTATATATTTTGCTTAACTCTACACAATTTCATCAAAAAGCAGGAAAAGTAATAGTTTTTAGTTAGCCGTTAATAATAGTATTTGAAATATAAATGACTGTGTAAAAATTAATGCCTATATTGGTGTTTAAAGTGTTTTTATTATTTATAACAGGCATGTATTTTCATATATTAAGTTATTTATGAAAATGTTTTGTTTTTCATGAAAAAAACTGTCATATGAAGGCAGAAACTTGTGTGAAAACTTTTATATTTAAATATGCTCACTAAGTTATACCATTATGCTATTTTGGTAATTTTTTTAATTTTATAATATGTCTGTTATATTATTAGTTCCCCCTATCTCTTTTTTTAAAAAATAAAATTTAAAATAAATTTTGCTTTCTATGTTAAAATTACTATGTAAAGCTATAATCAAATGAGTATATTATTTTGTAGCTATTTCATTATAAAATATAGAGCATTAGATACTTAATAAAGCTATCACAGAAGCAAAAAAAAAAAAAGAAAACAAAATCCATATTATACTACACTTAGCTAAGTTTAACCAAAAACCCACTTTACCCCACCTCAGAAAACTATTCATAATAGATAGAATTTTCAAATTTATTCTTAAATTTCTATGTATATCTGTGTTTTAGCTGTCCTTCTACCAGTTTGGACTAAAATTAATAGTTTTTGCCAGTTTTTAATTATATTAGAAGAGAGTTCATCAGCTTAAACTAACCTATTGTATAAGTCAGGGTTGGCAGTCGGACATTTCATGATTTTAACCATAGTTTTATCCATGATGTGCAAAACCCCTTTTTGACATAGGTTTAGTGTAAGGTTAATTATTAGCTATTATAAATATGAAATATTTATAAATAAACATACTTATAAAATTTCAAGTGGTCAATCAATTAAGTTCTTGAATTAATTTAATATTAAACTCTCTTTTTGTTTTGTCAATTACTTTTAAAAATACAAATTTTGATGTAGTAATTATTAAATAATTATAAATAAAAATGTGTGAAATTTAAATTTATCCAATCCATTGATTTTATTAAATTATTGAAAATAAAAATACAAAAACAATCAGTTTAGTTAAAAAAAAAAAAATGCTCCAGAATCATATTCAGTAATGTGTAATCAATTTTCATTTACTTCCATTTTAACTCCTTCTTTTCCTAAAGCTTGCAATTACAAAAGAAAAAAACGAAGAAAAAAATTGAGGAGTTTTGTACTCCAAGCTCTTTTTTCAGTTTTGTATGAATAAGACTGAAAATTTGAAACTATTCTTTTGCTTGATGCTGAGCTGCATAGTCTAGAAAGTAGTCATACTAGAGCTATTATATCACAATAAAATAACCTTTAAATATAAAATTTATTTCCAATAACTGTACTAAATATTAATAGTAATTTAATTAAGCCCTTGAATAGATGGATTGAAAAAATTATTAACTTGTTTAAACAGAAATTTATATTTATTATAAATTATAATTAGTTCACTAATCAGTGAACAAATTATACATTAATATAACTAATATTAGGACAATATTGGAAATATTCATGTACTTATAAACAGGAGTAAAAAAAAAATTTTGAGCCCAATATTTTCAATGAACAAAGTTTCTTTTTGGATTAAAATTTCCCCAAAAATGTAAGCTTTTTTTTTCTTCAGAACAGTAACTTTTTAAAAATATTTTTAGAAAATAAAGTTTATAAAAGAAAAAAATAACTAATTTGATTTTACGCAATTCTTGAATAAAAGAGCATATATGTTATAAAATAATGGAAATCAAAATATATTGAAATAGTAATAATTTATTAAATTAAATTTAAGGTCCCACTTTTTTTACTTAAGGAATTCAAACTAACAAATATACAAATTAGCATATTCTTTTTTTTTATTTTTTATTTTTTAAACAAATAAGTGTTTTGCAAAGCGACACTTTTTTAACGAAAATTTTTTGTAGGAATTTTTTTAGACCAAAATTTTTTTCATGGCTGGTTGAATTTTCTCCAAAATCTTATTCATGTTGTCAGATATATTCTGCTCCCCTGAGTATAATTAATAACAAATATTGAAAATCAATAAAAAAAAAAAATTATACCTTGAAATTAGACAATTATTGGGGAACCTTTAAATTTTACTTAATCTAAAAAATCTGCCTAAATTGTAAAATAAAAGAATCAAAATCAATATTTTGATTGATAATAATTAACAACTCATAGTTATTACTTGTAATTTATATCAAATAGTAATGATATGGGTCTTATAGTATTAAGATTACCATTGCAAAAATCAATTAATAGTTTAAATAATTTTGGCAAACTTTTTTTTATGTGATATAAATATAAATTATAATTATAATAGTATATAATTTAAGTATTGAGCATGATTTAGTATCTAATAAAATGTCTCAAATATAAAAAATGAAACTTTACCCCTGGTTTTTAACAATATTAAATCTCTTAAAATATTATAAAAATTGACTCAATTTAAAAGGAGAAAATTGATGTTTTTTAACATATACCCAATTTATTCCATGTGCTCAGTTTATCCAACCTGACCCTACCTTTTTTTTGCATAAAGCAAGTCCTTATTTAAAAGAAATATCTACCATGAAGATGTACTTAAAATAGTAAATATTCTTTGAATAGGGGAAAAATAGGATTAATAATCAATTCAGATGAAAATTCAGTTATAAAATCAAATAATTAAAGCCAAAATTTTGAAATCTATTTTGTTTAAAAGGTCAAAATTAGGTTACCTTTCCAAAAGATAATGAGAGACACTGCATTCTTATTTGCAACTGTACATTCTTATATTCGCATATGTGACTAACTTCATAATGCTTACTTGATAATTTAAAATATTCACACCGAGTGTGCATTATCCCTAAGGTAATGATGAAGCAAGTACCATGGTAAACTGTATGTTGCTTGAATATAAAAAAAAATTAAAAAATGAGTAAATCTTATTAGGTAGCTTTATCATATCTTGAAAGTAGAAACAACTAGCTTGAAATATCATGTTCTCATAAAAATATAAAAGAAAAGAAATAATTGTAAAAAATGTAAAATGAAATATAAAAGAAAATATAAAAATATATAATATAAACGAAAATGTTTATCACAGTCAAATTGTAATTCTGTCCAGCCTTGTACTCTTATGTCTGCACTTTTTATGCAACTCAATAAATTTCACACATGTTTGCATTTTTCATAGGATTACATGATGCTGAGAAAAGTTGATGCTTTGTTGTGGTTGACTCGAATTGGAACTATGGTATTTACCATATTGTCTATGATACCAATATTTGGGTATGTATCAGTTCAGCTAATTAACTAATTCATTTAAATGTTTTGTCAATTAAATTGTTTCTCTTTTATAAAATTCAAAATCTTAAAATATCTAAGATCAGAATTTTTTTTCTATGGAGCCCTAAATAATCAGCCTTTTATCGGTGGAATCCTGGCATAATAAATAAAGCATAAAAAATATAATTGTAAACATATTAACCAATAAAAAACTTTGTTTTGAAAATATTTAATAAGAGAAAAGCATTTTTTTCATTGTTTTGCCATTAATAATCTTAAATTACATTTTATGTAATTTAAGATTATTAATGATTTTATTAAGATTATCAATAATCTTAAATTACATTTTATGTTTGACAGTTTAATTTTTTGCCCTGGAGCTGAGTCTAGTCAAGCGATTTGAATTTGTTGGTGTAAATACAAAAGTTAAAAATGAGTGTAATAAGCTGAATTATGGTTTTTGTTGAAATGAAAAAAAAAAAATGCTATTAACATTAAAAATGGCTATTAGGAAGACATTTTTTTTATTAATGCATTTAGTTATATTATTTTCTTTTCAAAAATACAATATGAAATACTAAGGCAGTTTTTTATAAATATATATTTCTGAAAAAAAAAAATTTAATTTCTTTTGCATTTTCATTTCATTTTAAATAATTTTGTAAAGGCAACCAAAATTTAAAGTTAATAATAGATTATTGATTGGATTTAAATATAATTAAAGGCTTCAAAAACATTGAAAAGAAACAGAAGATAAGATTTCATCAAACTTAGTAGGCAGATTATGTAAATTAAATATTCACAAAAATTAAAACAAGTGAATTTCTTTTATTCAAATATTTTTTTCCTCAGTTACTTTGAAATTGGCTTGACAGTAATTTTTTAAATTTTAAAGTGTAAAACAAAATAATTTATTAGTTATAAAATAAATGCTAGTCCAACTTCTAAGGTAAAAAAAAAAGAAAATCACAATAACTTTGAAAACGGTTATGTATCTACTTTTCTGTTTTGGAAACATGATATAATTCAGTGGGTTAGTGTAAGTTTATCTTTTTGTGTACTCATGACTAAATTTTTTTTTTATTTTCAGAGTTAATCCTTATACTTCTTATCAAAGAGCCTTGATGAGTAATGCTGCAACAAGTGCGCTTCGTCTTCATCAAAGGCTACCCCGAGTGCAGCTCACAAGAGAATTTGGAGCTACACTGCTTATGGAAGATTCATGCCATTACTTACTCTATTCTATTTTGTTTATCATTTCCTATCCCATTACATGTATCCTTTTTATATTTTACATGATTTTATAATGATTAAAGTAACTGTATAAATACAGTAGATTTCTGGGTCATTAAAATAGATTTAATTCTTTTTACTTTTTTGATCAAAAAATTATTTGAATTTAAATTGTTTGTTTAAAGATTGATAATGGAAACTGGAGTGTAACTAGAAATAATAATGGTCAGTTCTGATGAAATTTGGAGCAATGTCATAACTTTGTTATGGATTGATTTTGGAAAAATTGAAAAATTTGGATTTCTATTATGTGGGATATTAATTTTTTTAATCCATCGTGCACCAGTTTTTGCAGAATTAGTAAAAATACTTATTGATCTAGCATCTGGAGCATATAATCTTTTCTTTATTATTTTATTTTTGTTTTACATTTAGTTTTAATCCGTGTATTTTTAAGTATTAAGTTCTTTTTAATGCTTAAAAATAATTTGGTGCACGATTATAATTTATACATTAATAAAATGTTTTGTTTTGAAAGCTATTTTAAGCAAATTTGTGTTATGACATAAATAATTATATAGTTATGTAAGTTTAGATAGATTCAGTTTATTAGGTCAGTATCTTTGATAAAAGGCTCATTACTTATTTTAAAATGTTTGAACGGTTAGAGTAAATTTATTTAGTTATTATTTTATAAGTAGTAGTTCTTCATAACGCAATCAAAGGAGAACTGCGGATTTTCAAAAATTCCTATTCTAATGGAACTGAGCTTAAATGAAAAAGCATAGTCATTAACATTGGCATTGGTAAAATATGCTGCAGCTACTGATCCTGGGTCAAGATATGATCTCCCCAAGTTTTAGTTCATTTATTAATAAAATAAATAAAGAAAAAAACTCTTTAATGCATGTTGAGTTGTGCCAAATGGTTGATCTGTTGAAGGGTTAAAAATAATTGAATTAGTTACTTTAAAATAATAAACCCTAAATTAACCCTCAATTAGAAGAGTCAGCTTATTAATATTTTTCTTTGTTTTTTTTAAAAAAAAAAATCTGTTTTAAGTGTAAATTATGCGTTTGAATGGAGGGACACAATCAAAAAATTTCCTTCTACTTTTATTTTAATTCCTATTAATAAATCAGATTCTCATGGAGACAGTAAATAAATCTTTTTACATCCTCTGTGAGAGTATGTAATATTGAATTGGTTAAAGGGATAATAGGGAATATTACTGGCTTTCTGAAGTTCAAATATAATTTTTATTGACATCATTAGAAATTATTTTACAAGAATTTCTTTGTGTAACTTTTATAGGAGCTGTCATTTTTTAGGATTCTCACTATTTCAGATTAAGCTGCTCACTTAGTGCAAAGCCTTGCAGGTGACTTATCTTCAAATTACCCTTAAAAACTCAATATTTTTTCTTTGTTTATTTGAACATTTTTTTTTTCTGTTTTAAGCTTAAATTATAGCATTATTCAATTTTATTACTTTGAAAATCTTTTATATTAAGTTATTTACTTTGAATTTACAGGACCATAGCCACATTCAACTTTTGTTAGTCTAACTATAAAGTCTATGATCAATCATTTATTGCAAAGATGCTAAAGTTTCAAATATTTTTCATTAGAAAACTACAAAGTTTATTCATAACAATTTTGGATGAATTGAGTTATTTTTCAATTTTGAAGTGCAACAATAGAAATTGCTACACTTGGATGAACTTCATTTTTTTATTTTTTAATATATTGCAATTCTTTTGAATTATGAGTTATTATAGAGATACAGTATGTAAGTATATTATAAAATAGATTGATTAATGGTACTAGATTATTATTTTTAATATTTGAGACATTCGTTTTGATGTTCTATGGTTTCAAGTTCTTCAAACACAGATGCAGAGATATCCATTTTCGTTGTTTAAAGTATTTATTGTTAGAGTAAAATTCTACTAGGAAATCTGGAAGTTCAACAAAAGTTTTAGCTGAAAAATAACTTCCTGATTGAATTCTGCCATTAACCTGAGCTCCTGGAGTTAATTTATGTTAGTGAGTGTTAAAATTTCAAATTTGTCCTTATATTCCCTCTGAGGAGGAAGAGGTGAAAAATAATCTAATATCACTGTATAGTTTTCGAAAATTAACAATATCTATCAGACAATTTATTGATTTAAAAGTTTATATTATAAATATATTGACTAATTTGGAGTTTTCTCAGTACACGTTTTTTAATTATTTTAGAAAGAGCTTTTTAAATTGTAATCAATTTTCAAACTATCAATCTGATGCGTTGATTAGAGTTAATAGTATAAAGACCTACTTAATTTGTAAAAGATTTTTTTAATTATATATTTGATACTTTTATCTAATTAAATGCATATAAAGACTCTTCTTGTTTCTTATATTCACAAATTTACTTGAAAATCTTATACTGCATATTCTGAAAGGAAATTTTTTTTGTATTTATTAGCTAAAAAAACATATTTTGCATACATATTCCATGCATTAAATAGTCATACTAAATAGTACTTTTAACCTCATTTTTATAATCAATTGTATAAGTCACATTATCTATCTCACAATTAAAAGTCCATTTCCAAATGTAATAAATTTTTAAGTTATATATTTTTGGAATTATGAATTTTATTATTTTTAATTATTGTTTTATACGTTTGGTTAGTTTAGTTCTCTAAATGAATTATAATTTTGTTAATTAATGTGTGTACTAAAAATATTTTGTGTATTGTGTATGTATTTTTTAAATTTTAATGATTAAAAAAGTATATTGATGTTAAATTTTAAAAAATGTAACTTTTTATCTTTAAATTATTTTTTAAAATTGATTTTTACATCTTACTGCTTTTAATTTTGTTAGATATGTTTAATGTTTTTTTTTATTTAAATCATTTTAGGTTTATTTAAAAATGCAAAATATATTTTGATTTGAAGCCTTAACTTTTGATTAGTATCCTTATTACCAATCTTTCTCTTTGCTGTTTTACATTCTGTACATTTCAGTATCATAATCTTAAATGTGAGTATAATGCCTCATTATAATATTTTAAGTTAATCATAATAAGGATAATTTTGCCATATTTTACTGAATTTATGGTTTTAAAAATAAATTCATAAATACACTATCCTATAATAATGGAAGAGACACCTTCACTTTTTGACTTTTTTTAAAATTTCTCAAGAAATACTTAGAGGATTATTTTGTAACTTTAGAGTTGTTTAGTTCATGCAATTTTTCGTACTTTGCAATAAAGTTTAAAGCTTTCAGAGGTTTGAGGAGCCGACAATGAATTACAAAAATAGCTAGTATTTTTAAACTTCTTATGCCAGAAAATCCAGCAATAAGCTTGTAACTTGTATCGATTACTTTAATTGCTATTTGCAGCAATTGCATGAAATTCAACTCAAGCTTAAATATTTATAGGGATATAGACATTTATTTAATAAACAAAATTTTGTCTAACATTTTTTTGATATAACTTTAAAAATATTCAGCTACGTTAAACAAAATTTTTGGAGCAATTTAAAATTAAATGCAAAAATTCTGTTTTAAAATTTGAAAAAAGTGCGCTTAAAATTATAAGTATTTAAAGTAGTTCTTTTGTAAATGCACGGAAAAATTAAAAATTTTTCTTCATAATTTTGTAGTGAATTGTATCAGTAAGTCGGTATTTTACATTATTTATGATTAAATAGTACCATTTTGTATGTTTTTGACCATTATTTTTAAATTAGTTTAATTTTAAGAACTGCTATACAGAATTTTAATAATTTTTCGAAGCTGTATGTGTGTTCCATCACTGCTCTGGTTCAGTAATTCTAGGGTGCTTAAATTTTTTTTGTTCTTTGTTTATAGTAAATGGGAGAGTTTAATTTTCAATAGAGGGTTGTGCATTCAGATTAACAGTCCAGTTTTCAATTGCTAGTTAGATCTTTAGGTGTCAAATTTTTCTGTTAATAACACTGTAATGTCAAAGAATCTAAAATGTTCAATTGAATTACACAATTTTTCGAAATAGCAAAAATTTTGAAAAATTTATTTAAGCAAGGAAATAGGTAAATACAGTACTTAAATAAAAAACATTTACAGTACATATCTTTTATCTACTTAACAGTACATTATTATAGAACAGCTCATATATTTTTCATAACAGTAAAAAACCTTGTCTCTGGACAGGCGCTTGCAAAACAAATAAACATACATTTTAAACTCCCATCAAGAAAGGGTTAAGGGAGTGGAGTGTCTTCACTGGAAAAAAAACTAATATTCTGTCTTGGTTGAAATCCAATATCAAATATTAATTATTTTATCTGATTAATGTGCCTAATTCTTCATTATTTGCATCTTTAAAAAAATTAAAACAATCTTAAATTTTTATTTCAACAGAAACTTGGCCATTACAATACCTGGGCTACTACTTCATTGACTTCAATTGCAGAAAACCATCAACGCAACATTCTTCGATTAGTTGCATTTACTGAAGTTACTTTGATGCCACTTACTATACTTTGGCTCTTTAGGTAATTGTCAACTTCCTGTTTACCAATTGTTATTAATGTTGTGTCTTGGCCCTTTATGAAATGTAATAAACTAGTTAATGTTTTTTTATTTTTTATTAGTGGCAAAGGAAGTCTATTTACCCCATTTGCTTATTATCGCTTTTTGACATTCCGATATGCTTCACGAAGAAATCCATATTGCAGGCAAGTTTATTATTATTCTAACTTTATTTGATGGTTGTTTTGTTGATATTGTTACTTGTTTCATATTTTATTTTATGCTTTTTTTCAAATGATGGCTTTCTAGAAAAGTAGAAAAAATTTTTTGTACTGTTTTTCTTTTCATTAATTCATTGGTGGTAGCTCTCAAATTTTTATGTTAATATTTAGATTATTATTGTATTGTCTTGTCATTGATTTAAATATAATTCACTGTTTCTGATAATTTTTGTTTGTTTGTTGTATCTTATTCTTGCAAACATCTTATGAAAAACAGAAAAAAAACAAAATTTGTTTTTCATAAGATGTTTATGTATGTCAGTGTTGTTGTGAGGTATTGATTTGCAGTTCTTTTTGTATAATGTTTTTTTTTTTTACTGTTTTGTACAAATATATTTTTTTTAAAAATTATTTCTTCATCTGTTAGGTTATAATAATACAAAATATGATTAATGATAAATATGCTATTATATAATATTTAAATAAAGTATCTTTTATTTTAATTGTACATCAGAAATAAAAATATATGATTTGAAACTACCAAATTCTTAATAATATGAATACTTTTTTAAATTTGAGGAAAATTTTAATTTTGTATAAATTGGAGTGATCTCTCAAGAAAGTTTTGAGCCAAATTCTTCAACTACGGAATACACAGCTCTCCTTTTAATATCAGCTATAAAAAGTTTAGGTTTCTTATGTTATGTCAATGATAAAATTTTTTTCTCATATCATATGTATAATCATATGCTACTTTTCTGTTTGAAGCATAAAGCTGAAATAGTAGATAGTGTAATGTGCTGTTACATTTTTTTATCTCTTTTGTCCCAAACATCGGAGTCCCTCCTGACATGTGATTTCTCTCGTTCAGTGGAGAAAGAAGGGTGTCATGTGACTCTTTTCTGGTAAATTAATGCGTATGAAAGCAAGGGTGGAAAAGTTAGAGCTTCAAGATTGTAAAATATTGGATCATTTTTCAGCAAGTTATATGTTGTTTTAAAATTCGAATTTTGTAATAATTATGTAAACTCTACATAATTGTTCACATTTTTGCAAAATTGAGAAAATTTTGATTTAGAATGGTTTTAAAGATGGTAAAATTGCTTCTTGACATTTGAAAATGCGTTTAGTGCCATAAGTGAGTCAAACAAAACAGAAAGTCATAAATTATACTTACTAGTTCATATACTTTCCCCTTTAGTGTAAATAAAATCAATTTAAGGCATTACTATTTAAAGCATTTTTTTAGTGTAGCTTTTATTTTTTTGATTTCAACTGACTTTAATTTTGACCAGATTGGTACTTCATTCCTGTTTTAAGCAATTTTCGACTGTATTTCAAAAGTACATTGAAACCTCCAGGAAAGATCACCCCTATGTAGCGACTACTTCTATTTATGACCCCTTTAGGGAGACACAGAATTTTTCCCATAGACTTTGTGTTGAAGAAAACCTTTAGGAGAGACCATTAAAACCTTTCTCAGCGACCATGCAAACATCTGTACCAAATGTGCAAAAGTTTAAATAAGGAAACACAAAATATCAAAACAAAAATTATTGACAAAATAAATAAGTAGATTAATCATTTTAGGTTTATTTAAAAATGCAAAATATATTTTGATTTGAAGCCTTAACTTTTGATTAGTATCCTTATTACCAATCTTTCTCTTTGCTGTTTTACATTCTGTACATTTCAGTATCATAATCTTAANCTGTACCAAATGTGCAAAAGTTCAAATAAGGAAACACAAAATATCAAAACAAAAATTATTGACAAAATAAATAAGTAGATTAAAATGTATACAAAACTGTGTGTGTGAGGCTCTTATTTAGAAAGCTTTTTTTGACGATACAACCTGATGTTGCAGTCTTGCACTAAAGACGATGCTATCAATGATTTACTTTTAGTGTTGGAAGTTAAAAAGTTATTTTAGAAAAAAACAAGCATCTCAAAAAAAAAAACCCCTCTTCTCTTCTTTTAAAGCTAACTAATGTTTATGATATAAAATTAAATGCAAACTTAAAACAAAAAAAATACTTGGTAAATTTGTTTTTACACATAATTATATCAGTTGGGATCATTTTTATAGATGCTAAATTTTATTCATAGATCTGTCTTTTTCATGACGCTAACAAAAGTGGCAATTCAGCACCAAGAAAATGACAATGACTAAAATTAAAATCCTTTGCAAAAATCATGAACCCTTGATAACAATTTTGAAGTCAATGGAGCTAACCTCTAAAAACGACCAACCTCCATCTACGACCATTTTAATTTGGAATGGAGAGTGGTCGTTCTCAAGAGGTTTCAATGTATCAGTAAAATTCTGCGATAAGTGTTTTTTTAAAATTATCAATGATGAAAGAAATATTTTATTTTCGAATGTTGAAGGACAAAAAGAATTACAAAATCATTGTCATGTCAGTGCTGCTCATTTTCTTTTTGAATTGCTTGATGCTGAGAGCATGTTATAATTTATATTGAATGTGCAATCATGTTGAAAAATAATTAAATCTATTGATGATTAAATGTTCCTTTTCAGAAATGTTTTTCATGAAATGAAAATTCTCCTGCAGAATTTTGCCAGCAAGCCAGGTCGTAATGTTTCAATTAGAAATTTTTGTCTCACAATAATACGTGTGTGTTCATACTTTGCACCACCTATCGTTCCTCAACAATAAAAACAAAACTTTTAATTGATATTTACTTGTTGACTGTCTTTTACTATGTTTTTTTTGTGTATAAATTTTATACATGTGCTTTGATATGGATTTTAAAGGTGTCATTTTTTTTCCATTGTACACCGCTGAACAATTGTCATCTTCTCTGAACAACAATTTGTACGAATGCCTAATTAGAAAAATAGTATGCACTTAATAGTTCTACTAGTGTTATACATTTATCTGATAACATAATTGAAATAAGCTTTTTCAGGTATAATCATATATGATAAAGAAATGGTTAGAATAAACTGGATATGTAGAACTAAAACATGTTTTTTTTCTTCATATTCTCCCTTTACTGCAAATTTTAACTGGTTTATATGTATGTATAACATATTTCTTAATGATTTTTCTGTTTTAAAATAATTATTCTGACTTATTTTTAGTTTGTTTTTTTTTTAATAATTTTTTTTAAATATCAGATGTTAAAATATTTTAAGTTTTAAAGCCAAATATTTAGGACCAAATCATGAAGTTATTTTAAAAAATTAAATAATTCTTCAAATTGTAATTTTACAGCAAATTATTATTTTCCTAAGAAGTTGTTTCAAAACAATTTTGATTACAATATGATTTTTGAATATGATTATATGAACCAAGTTATATATTTTTTAAAGTTCAATTCAAAGATATGAGATTTATGCACTCTTTAAAATAGTATATAGTGTACAAAGAAGTATTTATTTTTCATATTTGTGTAATAGTTGACTGAAGTCAAGAAGAAAAACTCATTATCAGAAAGAGTGTATTAGTGTGAGCTTACACCATTTTGTTCTTTATTTATAAGTACTATTTTATCACTCTGAGCACGGATAAATAAACAGAATTGCGAAGTGAATTTATATTGCACTTATTTTGAATTTATTCTGTAAATTAAAGTCTGCTAACTTTTAATTTGTAAGAAGCAAAAATGTGGATGATCAAAAATGTTATATTTTGTCATTATGCAAAATAATGTTTGGTAAATAAGTAAATATATTAATAAATCAGTGAATTTTTTTTTTTTAAAGATTCTCAAATTTATTAGTTTTTCTAACAGTTCATATTATGGACAATTTCATGACACAGGACAACACTACAAATATAAATAAATTAACATTTAATAGCATCTCTCTGCTACACAAAACAAATTTCTCAGTTTTTTATTTATCTAATTCAGATATAAAATCAGAAATTATAGTTTTTAAATATTTTGTAATAATAATAAGAAAGTTTATTAAAATTTTAATATAGTTTGTATTTATAGCATCAGTCACATTTGTCACTGTCTATATGTTATTTATTTTGTATTTTCAATTTTTCCCGATTTGTTTGAATTTTTTTTAATAATAAATTTTTATATTCGTCGTTGAACAGCCGACACAATTTTGGGTTTATTACTACTAATATTCAACCGTAGCCTTGTAGTTTTGAACTAATCCAGAAGACGAGGAAACACCTGAATCAGTACCCCCAGGTCTCGATTTATTATAGTTCGTCGATTTGGTCTGAGGGTCAAAGAATGATCACAAAATATTTTGTTAAATTTTTCTTATTTATTTTTCCTATCTTACTAATTTTAAAACAACAATTAAAAAAATGTTTCTAAAGATAATTTCATTGATAAAAAATACTATATATTTATTGATTTTTTTTAAAATCATATATTGAATAAATTTTTTTAAAGAAACTCTTACATATTTTGAAAAGATAAGCTCACTTTCTCTTTTTTATTTGAATATACAATTGGTTCAAGAATAGTTTTAACTGATAAAGAAATTTAACTTCTACTTGGTTATTTGAAATGATAAACATCTTTAATTATTATGTCTTAGGCATACAAAATGAATTGCTGATGTAATTTTTCCAGATAATTTATTGATAATTTGAAAAAAATTATCCATCACTGTAAAGTTGTGAGTAAAGTAGATAGCAAACTCAGTAAAGTTTTAGATGCAAATATTAACATTTGTAATATTTTCTTTAGTTTCACAAATGCATTTATTGGTATCTTATCTATGTATTCAGAACTTGATTAATTTTTTCATTAATTTATTCTTATATATCGTAATACAAAATTAATACATGTAGCTTTTTAATAAGAACATCTCTTCATTCTGCCACGGTTATGGATTAACATTTATATGTATTAAATTTTTAACTTTATATGTGTATATAATACCAACATTTCTTTACATTTAAAACTAGTTTCTTAAACTTCCCTTTCCTGTTTGAAAATCTGTAGCTTTTAAAAACTGCTTGAAATTAGACTGTTCTATTGTCTTTTTTTTTTTAACATAACATTTCATTTAAGGTCACAGGAATATTTTCTTGCTAATAATTATTTTTAAATGTTCTTTTCTTTTAAATTTTATTAGCTTATATCATGCATTTGGTTTATTCTGCAGCCTTTGTTTTCAAGTCTGTTCTTGAAAATGGTCTTTTTTTTTGGCAATGCCCATAAGAAAAGTGTTTATTTAGGTATTTATTAAACTGTTTTTTTTTTTAAATTTCACATAATTTTAGATTTTAAGTTTTTATTTTATTAAATTAAAACAAAAGTTTCAGATAGAATTCTTTGTAGTAATTTTCTGTTGATTTCTTTATCTTATCAATATTAAAAATATTATTGAAAAATTCTATCTTAGGCTTTAATAGGTTAAGAAAGCTTGTTTAAGAAAGAAAAATGATCATTTAGAAAAATAATTTTTTTTTATTAAATGTTAAAACGTAGTTTTATTATAAATTAATAATTTGTATTGAAATTCAAAATGCTGTTGATAGATAGCTTTTCATTTTAAAAATTTAATTTTGATTTTGGTCGAATAGCAAAACATTTTTCTTAATTCTAATCTTTTTTTCATTACTATTATAGTTAAAATAACAATATTATTTGAAATTGAATATTTTTCCAGAAAGACAGGTGCTGAAAATATTCATGAAAAATTAAAATTACAAAAAATTTGAGGAAACACTTTCTTTTTTTTCCCTCTCCAGGTCTTAAATTTCTATACCACATGGTTGCACTGCACTTTCTCTCCTGTTTTTGATTTTTATATCCAAACCACTAAATTGGTCCGGCCATCTTAAATTTGGTCTACTTTTCTTGTTAGAAAGTTTCTCTCTCGTGATATTAATGAGCATATTTGTTTCTTTATTTATTTCTACATGCTCTAGCCATTGTATCCTTTTTGCTTCTATGAATCTCATGTCTTTCTTTTTAATTAAGGTTTCAATTTTCTGATTGCATCTTTCCCTCCACACGCCATTTTCTCTTATATTTCTATAGATTTTTTTAATAATTCTGCATGCCTTAGCATATATCAATCTCTGGGCAAGACTCTTTTTTCAGATCCTAATGTAACTATTCATTTAATTATTGCTGTTCTCCCTAAGCTTTTTCAAAAGGGTTGCCCACCCCACCTTTCCTTAAACAGAGGTAAATGTAGCCTTTTGTAAAAATGTTGTCTGCCCCCCCCCCTTTTTTTTTAAAAAAAAGTTCTATTTTTATTTTAAGAAAACAGCAGTAGCAGAATTCAGGAACTACTATTATTTTCCATATTTATTTGAGTACTTTTAATTCTGTTCTGACGGGCACTAAACTAACTAGATATAATTAATGTATTTAGCAAGATTAATGCCTAAGGCATCCTTGTTTTTGAAAAAGAGCACCCTGCCCCTTTTTTATTTTTAAGATCTCTTAACATTGTATATCTACATCTTACATTTTCTTAAAATTAGTTTATACTTTAAAATTTATAATTGGCATATAGTGCTTTGTTACCATTTAATATTTGTCAATCATTTCACATTAAACTATTAATTACTTACATTATTCGTTAAAGGATATATTTGACATTGATAGATTTTATTTATGAACTTTTTAATTGTTTTAGTGATATTTTATTGTTTTATTACCTTTTTTATAATTAAAACTAAAACACAGATTTTTATAATCTTGTGACTCACTTCATGTGTTTAATTGTTACTTGCAAATTTATTTGACTACTTGCTAAGTTACTATGTCATAAATATATGTAAGATGAAATATTAAAACTTACTTTCTAAATCACCTTAATTTTTTTTCTATGTATTAAGATCAATTAGATTTTTTTTTTCAGTAGTAATTTAACTAAAATGAAAATAGTTGTATTCATTAAACATTAAAAAATATAACCTTTCACAATTTCTGTACAATTGATTAGTGAAATTCATATTTTAATTTAATTGCAATAATGTCTTTGTTGGTAGCTAAACCTCATTATCTTTTATGAAGTATGTTATTTTTTTGATGAAACTAATTACAATTAAAAAAAATTTGTGGAAGAACATGTTAAAAAAATGCTTTAGATTGTACAGAAATATCATAACAATACATCTTTTAAAGAAAAATTCATTGTTTAAAGTCTTAAGCAAATGAAGTTGATGTTTTATACATAAGTCAACCTTAAAACATTTTTATCTCACTAACTTTAATGTTTTCAACATGTCATTATCAACAAGTTGTTTCCTTTCTTTTACATAGTTTTTCAAGCTCTTGCACATACTTTTTTTTCACAGACAGAATTCAGATGCAATTACTAAATGTGTACTTGTGCATTTTAAAGCAGCACATAAGTTCTGTATTGAATTATTTATATGAATGTTTGTTTGGTGTCTTAAAAACAATCTTGGATCTGGAAATATTAAAGCCCATTATTGGAGAACATGTAGGACGAATTACATTCCTCAAAAACTGTTATTGAAGATGAACTTTGTTATAAGAAAAATTTAGAAATACTGCAAAATATGCAAGTATTAATTGATTTGGGGTTCATTATGATGATGTATAAGAGTTAAATAAAAGATGGATTGTATATATGTGAATTTGTATTTTTAAATTCTAATTTAACAATTACTACGTTAATTTTCATAGTTTGAAACTATATAGTAGTGGGAATTATATGATCAAAATTTAAATTTTGTATTAGTATATTTTCTCATTTCTTATTTAGCTAGTGAAATTGAATTAAATAAATAATTTAGCTTAAAATTAATCTCTCTTTTAAATCTTTATTAGTCGTGGGCCGAATGCGGCCCACCGACTATTGATGTGCGGCCCACAAAATCTTCTGTACACAATAGAATTTTTTTTCGAAAAATTTTGAATCAAACATTTGAGACATCACTTTTTGACAAGCTCAATTTACATATATTCTATAGTAAATAAATCTGTGTTTCTCTTACTCCATCGTAATTGCGTGAGAATTTTGCATGGTTTTTAAAAATTGAATACTTTTAATACCATGTTAAGATATGTTAATTTCGAATTTGAGTAATCACTTTTTGTCTGGCATTATTCTTGCCGATTTCATCTCAAATCCAAGTGATTTTTCCTATAAATTTTATTCAATTGAAATATATTTTATTTGTATTAATCATCAAAATATAAATTTATTAAATTATCTTTTATACTTTCATTCTGTAAAGTGAACATTTTTGAAAAAAAGAAAAAAAAAATATGTACTAAGTNTCCAAGTGATTTTTCCTATAAATTTTATTCAATTGAAATATATTTTATTTGTATTAATCATCAAAATATAAATTTATTAAATTATCTTTTATACTTTCATTCTGTAAAGTGAACGTTTTTGAAAAAAAAGAAAAAATATGTACTAAGTGATATGACAACAAAAAAAAAGCACATTTCTTTTATCCATTTTTTATATTTCTTTGAACATATAAATTTTTAAAAAGGTAAATTTAAAAAAAAAAAAAAAAAAAGGATCAGGTCTTTTACTTTTTGAATGATTTTTAATAATTAAAAGTATTTTTTAAAAGTTAAAAGTAATTTTCTGAAAGTATTACTGATAAATTCTAAGTTTACTGAAAAAAAAAAAATTAGTGCTTATGTTTATAGAAAAAAAATTTTTTTGTCGTTAACATGTCTAAATACGCGTGCGGCCCCTTTAGGTTGTGCTCCCCTAATGTAGAAAATGTAAATTTTTTGTATCATGAATTAAAGCAATAGCAAATAATAATAAATAATAGTATGTTGAAAAAATTAAGTTAAAATTTTAATAAAATATCTTTTGATCAATTTTCTAGATAAATTCTTTATAAGAAAATAGCTTGGTCAGAAAAAGTACTTATTTCATTGCACAGTTTTTATGTACTTGAAAAACACTTAAAACTAATATATTTCTGTATTAAATATAAAAAAATAATGGTCTAAAACCATCTAATTGCAGCCTTAATTAACAAAAATTATTTGGAAACCAATGCTCTAGTCAACTGAACATTAATAAAACCTAGAATGGTATTTACCTGTCTGCATCTTTTTTTTTTATTTTTTATCCCTGATTTAACAATATTGGCCAGTAATTTTTATTTATCATCCATTCTAATTCTCTGTCATTAATATTTAAGGCTTTCAATAAAACTTGGTAGTAATTCTTCACTGTTACCTTATTTAAGAATATTTTGTGATAAAGATAAGTAGTTAATGTTTTACAACTGTTTAATGGTAAATAATTTATAATTTCTTTTATAATAAGTTATATTTACTTAGAGTGAAATTTTGTTGAATCAACAAATACTGTTATATAACAATATTTAGCAGTAATTTTTTATTTATCAGCTATTCTAATTCTCTGTCATTAATATCATTTAAAAATTAAAGTGCTACCTTGTTTATCAATATTTGTGATAAAGATATGTAGTTATCCTTTTACAGCTGTTAAATGGTAAATAATTCTTATTTTATTATAAATATAATAAATTAAATTTACTTAGAAATAAATCTTATGTGAAAATGTTTTGAATCAACATGTGCGATCAAAATAATGAATACAAAGTAATTATTTAAAATTCTTAAACAATACTAGATTTAATTTTTTGTATTATCATTAAATAAGCTCTTTGGCAAAAAAAAAAAAATTAATGAGACTTTGTTTTAATCAAAAATTAAATACAAATACAGTACAGAACCCCAAAAAACCGGAGCGAAATTCGATAAATTTTCCCGCCATTTTTTAAAAAAAAATGTTTTTTCCTAATAAGATTTTAGGATTTTTCTTTCTTTTTTTGAAAGATGTTTACCTTACCATCATTTTGGAAATAATCATTAGTGTATTACTTCATCGTTTTTTCTTCTTTTTAAGATTATTTCCAAATTTATTTTTTTTTAGTTGGGTTTAACAATAAAAAAAACGGCTTTTTGTAGCGATTCAGAAAACCGGAAAAATCAGTTAGCCGGAATAGCGATGGTCCCGATCGTTCCGGATAATCGGTTCCCTACTGTATTTAAAAAACAAGTTTGGGGATGAAGTTGCAATAACAGATCTAAATTGAACTTAAATTAAATTTAAACAGAATCAGAAGCTCTGCAACAATCTGTTTATTGTAATAAATATAATAAAGATTGGCCTTATACTAACATAAAGAGAAAAAGTGTAAAAGATTCTATCATGTTATACATTTCATATCAAACCATGTTTACTCTAGTTTATAAAAAGTGCATTAAGATTTCGACTTTTATGCATCATTATATAACAAAAAAAACTTGGATCAGTAATTACCCAAAAGTAGGTACACATACAAAATGATGTGTAAAACAAAATATATAAAATATATAATAAATTATTCTAAGAATACATATTCAAGTAGAGAGTATAGAATAGGTATGCATTTATCTCCGTAACATTTTCATAAAATAAATTATTTAAAAAGTTCAGAAATGGAAAAGTTCAGTTGGGGAAGGACAAAGGACAGTGATGATATTCTACTTAATACTTTATATATTCTTAAAAAAATATATATAAATACAAAATGTTTTGGCATATTTTTTTGATAATATTTGATTAGCTTGGAGCAAGAAGAAAATCCAACTTATTTTTATTTCAATAATTTTTATGTGTTTAAAAATTAAATTAAAAAAATAGTTGGCGGAGGTCTAAATTTTTTTTAGCGACTGTTTGTGCCTGGCTAATCAAATAGTATTTTTCTGTATTCCTTGTGAATATTTATTTTAAGCAAAACCTACCATTAAATAATGAAAACAAATATTTTAATTATAAATATTAGGACACAAAAGTTAAAAAATTGAGAAAATAACTCAAATAAAAATGAATTTTTATTTATTTATTTCCTTAAACATAATAAATATTCTTGAACATAACTGTCAAGGTAAATAGGACTTGGAAAAATAAATAAATAAAACAATGTTTGATAGAAATACTCTTTTTTTTTATATATATAGTGATTGATTTAGATAGACCTTTTAAAATGAATAATAACAAAAATTTCAGGTTACATGTTTACAATTTTGGAATTCATGAGTATAATTTAAAAAACATGATTTATGCAAAATGAAAATAGAATTAAAAAAAAAACTGTCAACAATACATTTTACAAAAATTCGATAAAATAATTTTAAATTTAACAGTGAAATAACATCAGTACTTTCACAGATAATTATCACAGCATGATAGCAATAAATTTAAATAAGACATAGTTGTATATTAAAATAATAAGTCATTTTTAAGAAATATAATTTTTTTAATATTATGGTAGAGATAACAGATACAATTTTTCAATAATTTACTAAATGTAATAATTCTTAAGAGAAAGTTTTTGTCATTCATAAAACAGATTTATAATTTTTCAATATTTATATCTAACGCCGAAATGTTTATTGAAATGAATAGATAATTTTCATAAAAAATTTGCTATGTGGATTGTACAAACTCAATCCTTAAAAATATTCATAAAAATAGTACCACACCCTGCTCTTACAGTATTTATTTAATTTAGTCTCATGTCAGCAAAATATTTACTTTTAAATACTTATTTTAATAGTTACAATGCATTTAAAAAAAATTATAAGTTTCTAATACAATATAATGAAAGAAAAATTTATTATTAAGCAATTTGTTGATAAGAAAACAATTTAACAAATTGTTTTACTAAAGAGGAAAAACTAAAAAACTTAATTAATGTGTTTTCCCATAACTTTAGCGAATTCTAAATTTATACTTTTTGCTGTAAGAAATTTCTCTAAGTCAGAAGAATTTTCTATGACACAATTACTATTCTTTAATTTTTCAGTCATAACATTTATGCTTGTTTCATCAGTCCCTTTAGTGGCATCTCGAATAACAACAGTAGCATAGCCTAGTTCTAAGGCATCTATAGCGGTAAATGATACACAATAATCATATGCAATACCACAAACAAAAACATGCGTTACATGTCTTTTTTGTAGTTCAGAATGTAAAGATGTTTCAGACAATTTTAGGTTATCATAAAACGCAGAATAACTATCAATATCTGAATTTGTTCCTTTGTATATCATAATTGAGTCTTTAATCACTTTTAAATCAGGATGAAATTCAGATCCCCATGTTTTTTGGATGCAATGTTTTGGCCATAGCACCTGCTCCATTGCTATTGGTTTAGAAAATTTAACACGATCAAATAATTTAATTTTCGCAGAATCCTTCTCATAGTTTCCACTTAGTTCATATAGATTAACATTATCAATGAAAGATATATGATTTTCTGGATGATAATCTAAAGAATAAACGATGACGTCGAATTTCTGAGTCTGTAAAATATTATTTATAACAGGTATTACTTCTTTGGCATCTTGTTTTGCAGGACAACACCTCAGAGCTAATGATCCATCTATAAAATCATTTTGAACGTCTATCACAAGTAAAGCAGTTATCGGACTTACCAATTTTTTGATCCAGTTATGCCATACATTCATATATTCAACCGAATCAATCTTACCATCTTTATTTTTATCAAACGAGCAGAAAAGTTCCGCAGAATCTGCTATGGTTGGTTTCGTTTCCTTGCATACGAGCGCCTGGAGTAAATTAAAAAAATCATTTTCGTCTAAATACCCTTTGTTGTTACTGTCAAACTCAAGAAAACACTTCCTCTCAGCATCCGGATTATCAAAATTTATGCTTGAATCAAACGAAAACATAGTTTCTAATAAGAATAACCATTTACCTTTGATATTTGTTGAGAACAAACGCTACCTTTGGATGACGCTATGTTAATTTTTATCCTCTTTCTCTCAGCATCGGGAACGCCAAAATCTATGTTTAAATCAAAAGAAAACATAGTTTCTAATAAGAATAACCATTTACTTTTAATATTTATAGAGAACAAACGCTACCTTTGGATGACGCTATGCTTATTTTTATCCTTTTGTCAATCGCGCGGAGTGGGATGCCGGTTTGTTTGTTTCTTTTCCCTTTAAAAGGGTTGTAATCTTCAGTTGCCTCTACTATCGCCAACCATCGTATTCTCGCCAAATTCACTGTACAATTTGGCTCTCGGAAGTGAGATGCAGGGAAAAAAATATTGAAAATCAATGTTAAATTATTATTATTATTTTTAATTGGAAATATTTTTTAGAGAACTGAATTGAGTAATCAGTTATTGAATCAATAATTATTGTAATGCAAAATATGCATGTTTTAAATGTTTGCTATGATTTTTTATAATTTGTTCCTTTTTTATAATTAAATGGGAATCTTACACAGAAAGAGTTAACAAAATCCTCTAGACTAAACAAAGGTGAGAAAAGAATTATCTAGGTGAGAAAAGAGTTAATTTTACATCTGTACAACGTTACAAAAAAGTACAAACAATAAGCAAACATGCTTGTTTGTGTATGTAATATTTGCTTTTTTTCCACGTTGTTTAGCTTTATTCAAGCAAGGTTTCTTTTCTCAGGTATACTTCAACGCTAAATTAAGTGAGGCAAAATCCAAGTCGATCAAATGAATAGTTTAGAAGTTATTAGAGTTTTAATCTTACAAGTGGTACTTTTTTGTTTGTCTAGATATTGTTAGGTGGATATATTGGTAGTTGGGACAAATAACAAATAGTACTATTTGTTCATAAAATCCTTATAACTTCTAAACTATTAATCCTCTCGTTTTAAGTTTGGTGTCCTTCAATTCAGTATATCAAAATACATAGGAAAATGGACCTTAATTCTTTAGATAGCCTCAAGATAGGAATGCCATAAGTGTGAATAAATATAATTAAAAACAGTACCTTTTTTGAGTCCCGCAGTGGACTGATCGTTAAGACATGGTTCCCAGCAGATCACCGAAGTCAAGCATCACTGACTGCGGTCAGTGTGCGGGTGGGTGACCACTTGGATCAGTCTGCGTAGGGACCGAGGGTGAGCGGTATTGGTCCTCGTTAAACTGTTCTACCGTAAAGTGCTCGACTTCGCGTGCAGGTCGTCGGGCTATCGAAGCGGGGGTGCCATCCCCTCTGCGGAGGATCAAAATTGTGATGGCATGTCTTCGGATCATCCTCAGGGATGTTTCCCAGACCGTCGCCAATAGCCCATTGTGCAGCTCTAGTGCGACGTAAATGAACAAAAACAAACAAACAAAACCTTTTTTGAACAAATTAAAAAAAAAAAATGGAAAAGTTGCAGTTTCTCTGAACTGTTAGTCGTTTTTGGCATCATTCGATTCACCTTGAAAAAATATACAAGATTCAATGCCTCATTTATCTACATAGAAATGTTAAAGGCGTAAATGGGTAGTAAGTACAAAATTGTATTTTTTGAAATAAAACTCTTACAGCTTGTAAACTGTTTGTCTGATCATCTGTCGTTTGGTCTTATTCGATTTAAGCACAAATAAGTTAATAAGAGACAAATTAAATTTTTTTTGTCTATGTCAGCGGTACTCTAGGGAGTACCGCTGAAACTTTTGAAGGAGTTTCGCGAGTTGCATTACTTTTAATAATCATGTACAGTTTCGAAACCTCCAATTATATTTTGATCCAACCTACTATTCCCAATTTATTTAACCTTTCGGTTGCCTTTACGCAATTATTTCAAGTAAAATACAAATGAAATAGAAATGACATTTTTTAAAGGAAAATATAATATTTTTAATAACAATAAATTGAATAAATTATGAAAAGATCAAGGATTTATAAAATATTGCACTAGAATTTTGATCGAGTTTTTCAAATCATAGTAAAATAACTAAATACTAACCATTTTCATACCTTATAACAGTTCTTTCAAGTTTTCATTTCGAAGTAAAAACCATAATTCGGTTTATTTTAACCATTTTCAATTTATGTATATGTTACGGTCAATGTGAATAGTCGGTTATTATTAATTATAGTTAAATAAGCCGGTCAAAGTGAATAATCTAAACGAATTTACCTCATTAACCGGTTGTTAACCAATGAAGTTTGGTTATTGTCATTCTTTCGCGTTTTTATTGGGGATACCAACCACGCCAACTACAATCGCCAAGGCGCTAAATTTATTTTAAACTGGAAATTTTAAAAAAAATGTAGATGTTTGCCCGGAGGTGGCTTAGAGTTAGTCCCTTCGAGTTGGTCCCTTTCTGTGTGAAGTGGGGCGCTGCCCGGAAGTTGCCAAGAGTTATGATCCGGAAATCTCCCCTATTTATTTCTCACTTGTACCAAAAGAAGCGGTTATTATTAATATTGACCGAATTTTTTTATTACACCACACCAAAAACAAATTTTTAACTAGACTAGATATAGCACAAGGGCTGCAAATTTAACTGTCGGACATAAAACCTAATTAAAGGTTATTAATGATGAAAAAATGAAAAATCTTCATTTATTTATTGAAATAATTTAAAAAATAGTCTTCTATAGCTTCTAACGTTCACAATTAATTTAATGAACTATATTTATAAATTCGGGGTTCTGCCGAAAGAGGGTTGATTATTTAGGGTTCCGTAGCTGAAAATAATTTTGAATTGCTTCTAGAATAGATAGCTCCCCCCCCCCGCCAAAACCGGGCATGCAAGGTCTCGTAACTTTTAGGAGGGTACTTTTCATCACAGGGTAAGGCTGGGTGTTATTGGAAAAAAACAAACAAACAAATTATAATAATAACTTGACTAGTACTGTATACTTCTCCAAAGTAATTATCCAATTTTTGAGTTATTTATGAAGCTGTCCCTCTCTACCCCCTTACGTAAACCTTATTGAATCAGGTAATTTCTTAATTAGGATTGTTAACGGGAATTCACCTTTATCTTTTTTCTAACCTTGAGGCGAAATGAAACTCTTTCCTTGTATGTTATGTACGGGTACTATTTCCTGGTTGTCAAATGTCAAACAATCAGTTTTGGTAATAGATTTTTGATTTTACAAAGAAGTGTATAAATTTGAGGATGTATTTATTTTTAAAGCTTGGACCTTTTCCGAAACAATTCTATTTTTTATGAACAATAGTTTATAGAAGAAAAAAGAAATAGTGATCATGTTCAAATTTTTTTTACGTAAAATTTTCATGTAAAAATTAATTGCGTTTTCGAGCTTGGCCATTTGGTTAGAGAACTGCGATCTTATATTTTTGGGAGGGGGGAAATTTCGTTTTTGCCGAATGAAATTCCTGTTTCGACCGAATTGTAAATGAGCATTTACAAATATTCTGATATATAATAAAGAAACGTTAAGAGCAGTTTATTTTATAAATGACATAGGTGCTAACTTTTCCCGGCAGATTTCAATTTTATATTTTAAGTAGCAAGATTTAAACTTTGTTATTTTATTTAATAAATCCTTGTTAAAATGTTCTTCCTCCTCATTATACCTAATTAATTTAAATGAATATAAATTATCTAATTATCATTGATGTGATTTTAGAAAATGAAATGATGAAATTTAATTAATTTTTGCTTAATGTTATAGCTTCAATTTTTATTTCCCTTCCACTAGAAAAAAACATCTTAGAAAAGTGCAAGTTTTGACACCAAAGAAATAAGTATGATTTGTCTAATACAATATCAACAAGCGATTATATTTTAAAAGTCTAATCTAAAACAAAATTAAGTCTACTAAGAGCTAAGGAAATAAATTTTCTATAACCATAGTAACGAAAACCAGTAATCTTAGCAGAATAAAGTATATCAAAGGAAGTAATTCATTTGATTCAATAAAAAAATTATTTTGTTGCTTATATCTTCAAAACATGGTAATTTTTCCAGCAATAAATTACTGATTTNAAAAAAAAAAAAAAAAAAAAAAAAAAAAAAAAAAAAAAAAAAAAAAAAACAATTAATGTACCTTTTGATAAAATAGACATAAAAAAATATTTGATTCTTCATATGAAGAATAATTTTTTGCTATGTCACAAACCAAATAACAAATTGATTTGCAAATCTCGTTAAATAGAGGGCCGGTTAGGCCGGGATAGCCTGGTCGGTAGGGCGTTGCGCTCATGTCCAAGAGGTCGTGGGTTCGATCCTCGCCGACCGAAGACTCCCCGTGTAGTAAATGGTGACTGATGCAAGTTAAACCTGTCGAGTCTCAAAGTCCTCCATGTTTCCATAACAAATCAATACCTCTTGGGTACTGATCCAGGAGTTTCTTTGTCTTCTGGATTGGTTCCAAATTACAAGGCTACGGAGTTGAACATTAGTAGTCATAAACCCATGAAATCGGGTCGGCTGTTCAACGACGGTTATAAAATAAAATAAAAGAGAGAGCCGGAATAGCCTAGTTGGTAGGGCAATAGGCCCATGTCCAAGAGATCGTGGATTCGATCCCCGCCGGCCGAAGACTCTCCGTGTAGTAAATGGTGACTGATGCACGTTAAATCTGTCGAGTCATCAAGTCATCCATGTTCCCATAACAAATCATAACTCAGGGGGTACTGATCCAGGAGTTTCCTTGTCTTTTGGATTGGTTCAAAATTAGAAGGCTACGGAGGCTACATCAGTAGTCGTAAACTCAAAATTGGGTCGGCTGTTTAACGACGGATAAACTACCTAATAGAGCGCTGTGATGGCTCAGGGGATAGAGCGTTCACCTTCCAATGAGGTGAACCGGGTTCGAATCCCAGTGATGGCTGGTCGATAGGAATTCCGCATCCGGCTTGAACCGACCACAACGTTGACGTAAAATATCCTCAGTGGTAGACGAATCAAGGGTTAGAGCCCCTTCCCATCAGGCTAACCGTGGGAGGTTCTCGTGGTCTTCCTCTGCATGTAACGCAATTGCAAGTTAGTTTGATCAAAAAGTCCTCCACGAAGGCAAATTTCTCCCAATACTTGACCCAGGAGTTCCTTTGTCTTCTGGATTGGGTTGAAAATTACAAGCCTACGGCGTGTAACATTAGCTGTCGTAAACCCAAACAATTGGGTGGGCTATTCAACGACGGTTATAAAATAAAATAAAATACCAAATCGGAATCGAATGGAAATCAAGCCTCTTAACTTTTTTCATCGCTATTTTAAAATTTAATAAAGGTATAATATTGACTAATTTTATTAATTGTTT